TACTGCCGAATTCAAATATTCAGATAATAAAGGGAGGTTGCTGGCGATTGAAATTAGGAGAGGAAGTACCCAATCCTAGTTGTCGCTTTTTATGCACCAAATAAAAACCTAGGAGAATTTTATAAGAAATTGGGCCACAAAATAAGCGAAATGGATTATAGGAACGTCTGTATAGTTGGGGATTTTAATGGGGTAGTAAATCTGGAAAAAGATTATAGGAGTGGAATAGAGAAAAAGAACAAGAGGGATAAGCTTCCAAAAACTTTTTTTGATTTGGTTGACGAGCACAACCTAGTAGACATATGGCGAGTATTACACCCAAATGAAAAGCAATTTACCTGTTACTCCAATCCTCAGAAATCCTGGTCAAGGATTGACATGATCTGGGTCAGTAGGAGTCTGGGGTTGGATATTCATTCAGTAGAAATTACTCTGAATGTATGGGCAGACCACAGCCCATTAGAGATAAGGTGGAAGAGTTTAAATAGGGCCAAACAGAAGAGATGGAGATTAAACACCCATATTCTCAGAGATAAAGAATTTACTAAAAAACTCCAGGGAGACCTAAAATTGTTCTTCCTGGAAAACGAGAGCCAAGAGATCTCTCAAGCATGTGTCTGGGATACAATGAAAGCCTACTTAAGAGGGCTAGTAATATCGTATAATATTTATAGCAATAAGGAAAAAAGGAAGGCCCAGAAAGATTTGACAGCTCAGTTAGGAGAAGCAGAAAAGAGACTACAACAAGATCCGAGTGATGAGGCTAAAAAAGAAAAATGGATGATAATAAGACATAAATTAAATCTACTGGAACAGGAAGAATTGGCAAATAAAATTAAACAATCTAAACAGTATTATTTTGAGAATGCAAACAAGACAGGGAGGTGGCTGTCATATAAATTAAAAAAGGAGAAGGAAAAGGGGATTATAGATTGTTTGGAGGATTCGGAAGGAAAGATGTTAGATAAAGAGGAGGAGAAACTCGAATTTGCCAGACAATATTATGAGACCCTGTATAGAGAGGAGGAAACCCCAATGGATAATATCAAGCAATACCTGGCAAACGAGAACCTCCCACAGATAATGGAAGAAGAAAGAGAAATGCTCAATAGAGAGATCAAAATGGAGGAATTAAAGGGCGTAATATCAAAATTAAAAAACAATAAATCACCTGGCCCTGACGGTCTCCCAGGAGAATTATACAAAAACCAAGAACTGGAAGAAATACTTGTATCGAAACTATTGGTAATATGTAATGAGGCCTTGCGAAGTTCTATGATTCCAGACTCGTGGAGGGAGGCATTCATCACATTGGTAGAAAAAGAAGGTTCTGACCCGAAACAAATAAAAAACTATAGATCGATTTTCCTACTTAACACAGATTATAAAATATTCATGGGTATACTTGCGGGTAGGATGAAGACAATATTGAGTAATTGGATCCATCCCGATCAAAATGGATTCCTCCCGGGACGACAGATTAGAAGTAATACGAGGGTGGTGATAGACGTTTTGGAGTATTATGAGATACACTCTGAGAAGCAAGTGGCATTGGCCTTCCTTGATGCTCAGAAGGCCTTCGGCAACTTAAATTGGAGATTCATGACCCAGCAAATCAAAAGGATGAACTTTGGGGAGCACTTTGAGAATGTGATAAGCACAATTTACGACAAGCAGAGAGCAAATATTATACTCAATGGAGATATGACTAAAACACTCCAGATTGGTAAAGGAGTAAGACAGGGTTGCCCGCTCTCACCACTCTTATTCATACTGGCTTTGGAGGTGTTGTTAAGGAAAATTAGGCAGAATAATGAGATTCGAGGATTGGAAATAAGGAAAGAAAAATTCAAAATTCAAGCGTTTGCCGATGATGTGGTAGTGATTATGGAAGAGCCGCTAACAACCGGGAAAAGAGTATTGGAAGAGATAGATGAGTATGGGAGGCTATCTGGATTTAAATTAAATAAGACCAAAACCAAAATGTTAACAAAAAATATTACAGTAGGAGATCAGAAAATCTTAGAAGAAAATTTGGGCATCCAAATAGTTAAAAAGATAAAGTATTTAGGGATTTGGATTACGGCTAGATGCTCAACCCTGAAAGAGGACAACTATACACCACTATTGGCAAAAATTAAGCAAGATTTGGAACCATGGGGGAAGTTACAAATCTCACTGTTGGGCAGGATAACCACCGTCAAAATGAGTATTCTCCCCAAATTGATATATTTATTCCAAACTACGCCTGTCAATGTAGGGAAAAAATATTTTGTAAAATTAAACAAGATAGTCAGGAAATTTATTTGGGGAGGGAAAAAGCCAAGGATTGCATTCCAAACACTGCAAGAAAAAAGGAATAGAGGTGGATTCGGGCTCCCAGTGTGGGAGATATACCATAAAGCCGCTAACCTAGTGTGGCAACGAGATTGGGCCACACTAGGAAATAAAAGAATCTTACAATTGGAAGGGCACGATTTGCAAAAAGGCTGGCACACCTATCTTTGGGATAAAGGAAAAGGGGCAGGGGTTTATTTCCACCGACATAAAATTAGAGACGTGTTAATGAAGACATGGAAAGAAATTAGGCATATACATTACACAAAAATCCCAAAATGGACCTCCATAATGGAGGCAATGATCCATCCAAACACGCTAAGCAAGGAAAAAATGTATACTTATCAAGATATTTTAGACAGTAGCGGCAATCTTAAAACAAATGAGACCTTAAAGGAGCAAGGGATTCATATCGATTGGTGGCCTTACTTACAAATTCAATCCCGATATAGGAAGGACAAGCAGGAAGATGGCATAGAAATGGGAAAAAATAGCTTCGATAAGATGGATGGGTGGTGAGAACAAATTATTAGCTAAATTATATTCATACCTGCTTGAATATGATAGAGAGGGGGAAATACTCAAGGACCAGATGATTGCTTGGGGGAGAAACATCGGATCAAAAATAAACCTAGATGATTGGGAAGAAGTGTGGAATAATAATCTGAAGCTGACAAGAGCGGTAATTTACAAGGAGAATCAGTATAAAATGCTGTATAGGTGGCATCTAGCACCATCTAGGATTGCAAAGATATACCCAAACACAAACCCTAAATGTTGGAAATGCGGTCATTGGCAAGGTACTTTCTACCATATGTGGTGGACATGTCCTGAAGCGAGGAAATTCTGGAAATTGATACAAAAATGGATCCAAGAAATAATAAAGGAGGATATTGCCTTTATACCAGAAATCTATCTCCTGGGAGTTCTGAAACGAGCATATGGGAAGAAGAAGAAATATCTAATTGTCCACATCGTCACAGCTGCGAGAATCTCTTATGCACAATATTGGAAGGAGAAAAGTTGTCCAACTGAGGAGCACATAGTTAACAAAATATTGGAATGCGCAGAAATGTGTAGATTAACACATGTACTAAATGAAAAGGAAGATTCTGAGTTTTATACGGTATGGGATTTGTGGTATAGGTGGTTGGGAAATAAATGCAAAAGCTAACTACTAAGGGGGACAATGCTTAATTATTAACTTAACTTATGTACTATTATATTATAACTTATAATATATTAATTTCATAAATATCTTATGTCTTAACTGTAAATCATCTATATAACCGATTAGCTACCATATTTATAAGCATATAGTATGACTACACGTTGCCAAACCGAAAAGGTTGAATTGTAATATTTTTGTCTATTCAATAAAATTTAATAAAAAAGAAAAAGAAAGAAAATACCATTCAATGAAAATACCATATAAAAAATTAAAACAATAAATAAAACAATAAATTTAGCTGGTGTCTTCTTCATTAAGGGTTCGTCTAATATCTGTGCAAAAATTGCTTATAGGAACTCTGAATCTCTGGCTCTGAACTTTCTAGTTCAAGTAACAATCTGAGTAAACCTTGATATAATGCAGAAATTAAACAGGGTGAAGGAAAGGGTTATGATTCACTCATTTTTTTCTACATATTCATTTATAAAACTAAAATACATATAACTAGATATAAATCCTGAGATGACTGATATCCCTGTCTTTCATTCAGAAACTCAATGCAGCATATATAGCACTGTTCCTATTTTGTCCCCTCAACTACCCATGAAGTAGATTGGGTTGAGAAAGAGTATCTGACCCAAGGCAGTTTTCCGTAATTGAGGGATAGACTAGACCAGGGGTCAGCAACCCATGGCTCTGGAGCTGCATGTGGCTCCTTCATCCCTCTGCTGCGGCTCCCTTGTCGCTCAAAATATGTGTCACAACCACTAATGTGTGACACCTGCCAGCACACAATTTATTGAGATTTTTGACCCCCCAATAGGCCAACCACGGATAAATAAGTTTTTTTATACATAACATAAAGGTAAAAAATGATATATACAGTGTTATCTTCATTTTAGATGTCAAAAGGTTTTTGTGGCTCCCGGTGTTTTCTTTTCTGTGGGAAACGGGTCCAAATGGCTCTTTGAGTTTTTAAGATTGCCGACCCCTGGACTAGACCCTCCCTAGGTCACACTCCAATATTATAATAATTACATTGCACCAGCTCTCACCAAAATCTAAACCTAAATCTAGGGCTTAATTTCTAAATTTTACATCACTAAGATCTTCTACATACTGTACACATGGCTTCTTTCCTCTCTGCAATAAAGCAAACGATCTAGAGTTTAAATTCTAGACTATTAAGTTCTGAGACTTGTGCTGTTATCCAGGACGGAATGCAGGACTGAATTTCAGGGAAAATACTGTAGCTTTATGGCCAGGTCTGATATTTTACACAAAGGAAGAAAGTCACATTTCATTCTGGGTAATGAGTGTTTTACAGAAAATAAGGAGCCTATATAATTCAGTCAAAATTCTTAATATTGTATACCTAGTTTTATTTCTGTAATACACACTGTAATATTTTACAAAAGGATTTTCAAAAATTCCCATAAGAATATTGTTCACATGGCAAGACCTGATATTTTGAATTGTTGACATTACGTACCTTGAGATCTCTATGAATTAAACCCTTAGAATGGATATACTCCACTCCTTCCACTATTTGCTGAAATAGAATTATAGAATCTTCTTTACAAGGATCTTTTTTATTGTAGAGAGAAAGACCTTTTTTTTTTATCCAATCTGATAGATTGCCTTGTTCACATAATTCCATATGAATGAAGAGGCAGTCATATTGCTCTGAGCTGTTAAGAATTTAAGACAAAAAAGACTATTAAAAACTATTAAAACTATATCCCTCCCAATTGCTTTACTGACATTGTTTGCATGGATCTAACCATTTTGTTTATTTATGTGGTTCAAATACAGCTGAGAATCCATGATATAACTAACCATGTTTCAAGTAAAGTTCTGAACTATCAGGAAAAGCCAGTTTGTATATTAATGCCAAAGGATGACAGAAAGCCCAATTTAATTTAGATCAAAATTTACTGACTCACCTACAGAAAATATACAATAAAATTATTTGCTCTTAAACGCTAAATAAATGCAGGCACTCCTGATTGGGCAGCTGCACCTCCAAAGCCAAAATGGTTCCTATTCTTGGAGCCTTCCAGAACTTTGGCAAGGTCCTAGGAGATATAATAATTTGAGTGGGCCTGGTGCCAGAATATGAGGATTTAGTCAATAAATGGTTATTGTTTGTTTGTATTAATGCTCTAATGTATTATTACCCTATTCTTATAAGAATAACCATCTCTTAGAACTTAGTTATTTAGTTACTTAGTTACTAATTGTATTATATTATATATATAATCATTATAATTATATTATAATTAGAACTTAGTTACTTAATCACTTAGACAGCTTAGAACTTCACCGTCTTCAGTCCGATCTTAGCGTAGTACATAAAATTATCTGCTACAATGTTCTACCTGTCAATGAATACTTCAGCTTCAACCACAACAATACACGAGCACATAATAGATACAAACTTATGGTAAACCGCGCTAAACTTGATTGCAGAAAATATGACTTCAGTAACAGAGTTGTTAATGCCTAGAATGCACTACCTGACTCTGTGGTTTCTTCCCCAAACCCCCAAAACTTTACCCTTAGACTGTCTACTGTTGACCTCACCCCATTCCTAAGAGATCTTTAAGGGGCATGCATAAGCACACCAGTGGGCCTACCGTCTCTGTCCAAATGTTCCCTTTTATTTGTATTCATCTCATGTATTCATAATTATGTTTATACTTATATCTGTTATCTAATACATGCTTGACAAAAATAAACAAATAAACATAAATAAATAAACATAAATAAATAAACAAATCAATCAATCAACCAACCAATCAATCAATCAATCTTACAGGCTTGTTGAGTTGAAGTGCTTTAACAAACGTAAACATACCAATGACTGCATCTCAAAAGATCCCTCTGTTAAAGTACTGAAGTTTGCAGATGATACAACAGTGATTGGTCTCTTTTGAGTCAATGATGAATCTCCATACAGATGGGAAGTTGAACAACTAGCTTTGTGGTGCAACCAGAACAATCTGGAACTAAATACACTAAAAACTGTAGAAATGATGGTAGATTTTAGGAGAAAACCTCCTGTACTACCACCTCTTACAATAATAGACAACACAGTATCAACAATAGAGTCCTTCAAGTTTCTAAGTTCTATCATATCTCAAGACTTAAAATGTACACCTAACATCAAAAACATCATCAAAAAAGCACAACGAAGAATGTTCTTTCTGCGCCAACTCAAAAAGCTCAAATTGCCCAAAGAGCTACTGATTCAGTTCTACAGAGGAATTATTGAGTCTATCATCTGCACCTCTATAACTGTCTGGTGTGGCTCTGCAACCCAACAAGACAGACACAGACTTCAACAGATAATTAGAACTGCAAAAAAAAAAAAACAATTGCTACCAACCTCCCTTCCATTGAGGACCTGTATACTGCATGAGTCAAAAAGAGGGCTGTGAAAATATTTACAGACCCCTCGCATCCTGGACATAAATTGTTTCAACTCCTATCCTCAAAACGACGCTATAGAGCACTGTATACCAGAACAAGACACATACCAGACACAAGAACAGTTTTTCCCCGAATGCCATCATTCTGCTAAACAACTAATTCCCACAACACAGTCAAATTATTTACTAAGATTGTATTACTACTACTATTATTATTCTCATCATTCCTAGTACCTATCTCTTCCCACTTATGGCAATAATCATGTTGCTTGTAACTTTACAATTTATATTGTTTTATTGTTTCCTAGTATGATTTGATTGCTTATTAGTATCCTATGGCTATCACTAAGTGTTGTATCTTATGATTCTTGATGAATATATTTTATTTTTTCTCTTCTTTATGTACACTGAGCATATGCACCAAAGACAAATCCCTTGTGTGTCCAATCACACTTGGCCAATAAAGAATAAAGAATAGGTGCTTTAACATAAACCCTGATATGGAAATGTTAACAATTTGACTCTGTGATATTGCTCCATGCCAACTTTTTTATTTCAGCCTGCTTTGTAATAAAAGGAAAGACACTTTCTGCCTATTTATGTTCAATATAAGTTGAATGCATTTAAGACTGTAAGATATAAGTCTGAATGGAATAAATTGAGTGGAATATGCCCACTCAAGCTACCTAAGCAGTGGTGGGATTCAACTAATTTAACAACCAGTTCTCTGCCCTAATGATTTCTTCCAACAACCAGTTCACCAAACTGCTCAGAAATTTAATAACCAGTTTTCCCGAAGTGGTGCAAACTGGCTGAATCCTACCACTATACCTAAGCACAAACAAAACAGATACACAAAATGTTTTCATTAAAAAAAATTAAACATTATGTAATGATGAAATTACCTGATCACACTGGTATCAGGAAACTGGAAAATGTCTTTTCCACTCCAACAACCATAATATCGAATAATATGCGGGTGCAGGTGATCCAATTTTGCCAGTGCTTCTGCTTCTCTTTTTTCTCTTTCTCCATTATCTTTTTTGCTTTTGCTAGTTGGATCAAAACAACAATCATAATAACAGCAACAATAAAACCCCTTGTTGCTAACAATTGGTCCAAAAGCCTACACTGCAGAATTATTTCCAGAAGCAGCTGTTTACAAGACTAATTAACATACAAGTTTTTCTATAAAAAGGAACAGGACCTGATTTGGAATTCTGCAAACATGTGACAGAAGTTATATTACAGATAATGAAATCATTAAAAAGGAAAATCTGAAAAATTAACGATGCACCTAGGTTTTACTATTAACATAGGAAATGTTCTAATGCAGAGGTGTCAAACTCCATTCCATGGGCTGGATGCGTCACTCACTGGCCACACTCACGCCCAGTTTAGCGAAGTGGAAAAAGTCATGATACGTCATGTGATGACGCTGTGACGATGCGAGTTTGACACCCCTGTTCTAATGTAAAAATTAGACTTAATAAAAATAGCATATAAAAATTCATATATTAGACAAAGAAGACATCCCTAATCTATTCTTGTCTGCTTTTCCTAGTTCAGATAACAAAATCAAGTCACACAGAAATCTCCCTGTAACTCTACTTTTTACCTTTGTCCCTCATAGACAAAGCACAAGAAAGAAAAATAAAATATTTTTGTTACCATTTTTAAACTTTATTGGTGGCAAATGCAGTTTTTCATTATCTGTAGACAGACAGGTCATGATTTAGATACCTAAGTATTTTCAAAGCACAGGAAAATGATATAGGACTAACATCTGTCCTTATTGTACAACTGATTCTCAATACCATATTAATTCAGTCTTCTATACATAAATCTGAAAGTCTCTTGAATAAGTGATTTGAGAGACTTATTCAAAATGCTGCATAAGTCATTCAGATTCCACCAAAATAGGTGTTTCAAAACCTGTTAGAACTTCTCTGTTCAGGAGCAGTCCTGCATGTGTGATGAAACTCAAGTATGACATATTCAGATAGTCCTTATTTAATAACCATTCATTAACAACTGTTAGAAGTTATGATGGCACTGACTCACAATGGGTCCTTGAGCACACAATCAATGCAGCATTCCCATGGTCACATATTGCGATCCCAGCACCTGACTACCAGTTTGCACTTATAAAAAATAAAAGGAAGCACAGCATAACTTACCCTAAAAGTCGGACGCGTTTGATAGCACATACTCTCTTATCAATGATATTCTTTGCCTTGAAAACATTTCCAAAACCACCAGAAGCAATACTGTCTATATCATAAAAGTCTGCAAGAAATCTGTTTTTAAAACAATTAAAATCTTAGAAAGCCATGTAGCAAAACGTTTGAAAATACTTATACCAAAAGCATTAACATTTTTATAGCATTAAATTTTAAATAAATTTTAAATAAATTTTATTAGCATTAACATCTTTATAATATAAATATATTCAATCCTGCTGCACAGATCAATAACCAAGCAGAAAAAATGGTCACCTTCATCCTTACCAAGACACTTCAATGTCTTGTTTCCAAACTTCTCATCTAATATTCATATATCCCTGCCTTCCCATCTTGAAAGTGCCTAACTAGACTATTCCAGAATTCAATTTTGAGGAATGTATATAAAAAAAGAATACAAATAATTAACTATGCAAAGGGAAAGGGAGCTTAATGGGTTGAGCAAAATACCCTTCTTTGAAGCATTAAAACAGTAATATCCTCTGGAAGGCTCATCATGCCAACTTCAAAGTGCATAGACAAAAAACACTTCTGGTGTGTTTATAGGCAAAAAGGCTGTGCCTAAACAGGCATGCAGGGACAACGACAACAACAAAACTCTTTCAAAGGGGCCAGGGCTTTGGCTATATCCTTTTAGAACAATGTCAGCATTTTAAAAAATATGCCAATCACTTGTATCTTCTGGATGCTTTTCAAAGAGAATCTAATCTATTAGTATTTTGGTAGTTCCATCTGCACTTAAGTAACATAGTAAGCCTACACTCAGAATTCATTGGTGCCTACTCCTAAGGATGTAAGTATAGGATCATCACCCAATGCGCAATGATGGATGGTTTCCTGAACTGCTTTGTGACAATAAAATGATGTTAGTGGACAACATAAATTTAATCTGGTTGGGCTGTGGAAGTAGCCCAACCAGATTAAATTTATGTTGTCCACTAACATCATTTTATTGTCACAAAGCAGTTCCAAATCAGACAGCAGCTCTGAATTTATCTTAAGAATTAAGGGAAACAGCAAATCTATTTGGTGTAGATAGAATATATTTGCAGATCTTCTGTTCGCCATAGCTCAACTGAATTCAAAACTACTGTTCAGAAATCTATGGTGGCCGCATTAAAAGTATCACTGGAACAAAAACAAATTTGGGGGGCTGCCATCAGATCTGTTTTCCAGAAATAACACTATTAACATTAAACAGTGTTAGTATTTCTATCATCTGCAAGTTGGTGCACCTGAGAAATAAAAAGAGGCAGCATGATAAACGTTTCCCCTTCAAAATATTTATTCTCATCTCTTGAAATTCCACCTGTGAAGTGGAAGGCTCAGCAGAAAACTTTGCCTCCCTTGGACAAGTCAGCAATTTGAGGAAAAGGGAAGAATTAGTTACAATTTTTATTCATTCAATTGCTGACCCCAAGCAAAAATTCATTATCTCCCAAAGTTTGTAGAAAAGGAAAGAGCAGGGCAACATCACTTGGTATTTATTTAAAACTGTGCCAAGACTATATTTGATAAAGATACATTTTTAGCTACCACTTAGAAATGCACAAAATGGGGGATGCTGAACTGTTCATTATCAAAAAGTATTTGTCTGGATGAGATTCTGATAAGCAGGTATCTTATCACTTCTATTCCAGCATTTGAAAACTGAAAACAGCCAGATAGCTACTGTCATCCTGACATTTATGAGATCAAAATGAATGTTTGAGAACAAAGAGATTTTATTTATTTATTTATTAGTCATATTTCTATGCCGCCCACTCTCTGAGGACTCTGGGCAGCTTACACCAAAGACAGTATACTAAATAGCATATTGCCCCCAACAATCTGGGTCCTCATTTTACCCACCTTGGAAGGATGGAAGGCTGAGTCAACCTTGAGCCGGTGAGATTTGATCCGCTGATCTGCTGAACTAGCAGTCAGCTGAAGTAGCTGCAGTAGTGCACTCTAACCACTGAGCCACCTCGGCTCTTATTGTATAAAACAAGAAGTGCTACAAAGAGTATCTAGAAGATCTACTGTTGTTGACCAAGTACCTCACATCTGTGGGGTCCTTGGTGCTATTTAAGCTTGGCTGTTTTCTTACAGATGTTTCATTACCAAACTATGTAACATCATCACTGCTAGCAGGGAATGGGGTTTGCTCTCATTTTATGTACTTGTGGCTTGCCCTGTCAGTGCTGGTAGGAGTAGTCTTGATGGTTCTTTGATTGGGCTGTTGTTTACTGTTTGTTTGGCTGAGCTACAAATATTCTCTTCTGTCAGTACCTCACATCTTCTCATCATTTTATATTTTGACTGGCCATCTTAATAATGGAAGTTGGAGACTGTGTATTTGCATGCATGTAATGAACTCAAGCAATTATATTCCAATTTTAAAAAATGTTGATTTGATATAAGCCCCTTTCTCAAATTTCTGACCATAGAGAGTGATTTCAGCTTCGATGGGTGCATAGCATACAAACTGTGACAGCATAAGTCTTTGCATGATCACCTCTATCAAGCATGCATTACCATACAACAGTATGAGGGTGCCTTGCAAACCAAAGATTTATGGAAGGAACAGTAGTCCTCTAACATCACTGTCCAAGACTACCTGAGAATCAGTGGGTATGTAAAACAATCCCACCACAGGAAAATAATCCAGGATACCATAGCTAGTTGTATTAAATCTATTATTATTATTATTATTATTATTATTATTATTATTATTATTATTAGTTGATGATTGTATTAAAACAAATAACCAACCTCTTTATTTCCCAAATACCTCAAAAACTAAAATAGTTTCCTCATTCCAAACAAGTCAAGAAGCCAAATTAAAAGGATTTCTTGTGATCAGTATCCCCAACAGTATTCTAACAAAACATGCAAGAAAAGGATAAGCAAATGTTTTAAGGACTCAAGAAAGGAAATAGCAAATTTATTTTTAAAAAATCATGCAAAAACTATCTTGTGCCATACAAAGCAAGAGATAGTTTGTCACTTATTTTCTAACCACCAGGATCCAGTTCCTTTTATTTAGCTACTGTGGATATGTGACAAATAGCTTTTCAAATAAACCTGAATCAGATATCAATCTATATTCAATTATTAGATTTCCTATTAACCCAACATCAAATTAAGAAAGATAATTCTTATTCCAAGAATTGAAGTAGTTTGTTACCTGTCATTTTTGGTGAATTTACTTGTTCTTGTACACAGTTTTGAAAATATTGGAGCCAAGGGTGTTTCTTTTCTTAGAAAATAATGAAATGAAATACATTGATATACATAAATGGTATACACAATTGTATATAAATACTATTGATTTAATATGTTTATTGTACAGTTAATAATTCCATTTCAAAAGACAGCACATACCTTTTAGGTTTCATAGATTGACTGGGTGGACTGACCTAAAGCAAAATGGAGGTAAAGAAACAAGTATTATATAGTTATTCTACCTTGAAGCTAAATGATGAAGTTTAAAGGTTTGAACAAAATTACAATGGAAGGATAGACCACTGTGAAGGTTAAAATCAGGAGCTCTGCAAGCGATTTCCCATTTCTGAATCAGGAACTTGAATTGGAATCTGATTGCCTATATTTAAACTAACCAATCAGTACATTGGCTAATTTAAAGGAAGCTTCTTCTAGTGTTCCTCAATCTCCAATACAGAAAGAGGAGATGAGAAGGATAAGAAAGACTTCCAAGATTTTCTACATTTTCTCCCTAGAACTCATCAATAAGGACAAGAACTAAACTTCCCAACTGTACTTCCAGTTACTTTTAGCTGCTTCCATTCTGTGTGGCCAGCTGAGTTTGAAGTGCCCTAGAAAGTGAGTGCTAAAGTATACAAACACATTAAATAATGAATTAAATGTAGTTGCTTCTGTTTATTCATGATTCTAGACAATATAACCTTATAGCCAAATCAACATGTCAAACTTCATAACAAATATACACTGCTTATGAAACACAAAGTAAAGATAAATTTAAAAATACTCTTTAGAGCACCAATTACCAACCAGTGGTCCACGGACCACTGGTGGTCCATAAGAAAATTTTGGTGGTCCACAGAAAAATTATTTGCATTTTGTATATTGTACTAAATACTATTTATCTTTTTTTAAAAAATCATATTAGTGGTCCATGGGATTTAAAATTATGAATTTAGTGGTCCTTGAGGTCCGAAAGGTTGGTGACCGCTGCTTTAGAGGTTTATTTATTGCCTATACTGTATATGAACCTCCATACAAATGTTTTCTCATCTATAGAAAGAATATCAGTGGACCTCAAATTACAACTTATACAATAAAAAATAATATTTGGAAGTTATTGGACTCCATTACATTTGCATAGAGAACTGTCAATAACACCATTTTGTTAGAGATACAATAAGGATACAGGTAGTTCTCCACTTACGACCATTTGTTCAGCAACTGTTTGAAATTATGACAACACTGCAAAACGTGACTTATGACTGGTCCTTGCACTTACAACCATCCCTCCATCCTTGTAGTCATGTGATCACAATCAAGATGCTTGGCAACTGGCTTGCATTTATAATGGCTGCAGCATCCCATGGTCACATGATTGAAATTTGCGATCTTGCAGCCAGCTTCCAACAAGCAAAGTCAACAGGGAAGCTGGCTGCAAATCACGATCACATGCTGTCTCGTATAATGATTGCACAGATTAACAACAAATTTTCTGGTCCCCATTGTGATTGAAGGTCAAGGACAACCTATAATGCTTCTTTAAAACATGTGATTTTAGAATGTCTTACACTTAAAATTAAGTTTTGGCAGAAAGCACTGGATTATATAAATATAAGTGTGCAACAAAAAGCTACAATTATTAAATGATAAGATTCTTTGGACTAAATACCTAATATTTGGAATTTGATAAACAAATAATGTAAATGAGTTCTCTATGCTCTATTCTCTTTTTATAACTAAAAGACTGATATTGCAGCATTCGAAAGAAAAATGCACAGTCCTTTTCATTCAATAGATTGAGGGTCAGATTAATTTGCCGCTCATAAATGGATAGCCTATAGACGTAGACTTGTACGGACAAATATGGGATATTTAAACAAAATATAACAGGTTAAAAATGATAGTTATATAAATGCATTAGAACAAATATGTACTTGAGTAATAATTGAATTAAATAACTATATATAGAACTGTAACTATTTACTGCTAAAATGATACATTTTTTCTTTTTCCTTTGTTATATCTTTTCTTTTTAAAGCACTTTCTATATGTTTTTTTTGCCTTTGACAATCTATGCATTTTTAGTTTTGTGGAATCTTTCCCATTTTGAGCCATTATTTTAAAAGCAATAAAAGAATAAATTGAAAAATATTTTAAAGTTCTATTTACAGGGTTCTGAGTAGACGAAGTTTCATTTAGCTGAATGGCATCGGTATGTTGAGTAAATGTGTCAGATGTCTTCTTCAGTTCGGAATCCAAATCTGTACTGCTACAGAATTTTTAAAAAAACAGCTTAATTACAATCTGACTTAACAACTATCTACATAAAACTAAAACAGTCTTCACAGTTTACCATGATTGCATTTTATTGCCATTAAGTTTGCTACATATGCTTTTCTACACCTACATTTTGATGAAACTCAAGCAAACAACTCACAGTGACATCTATTCTTGAGCTAAATCTTTATATTACTACTAAAGTATGCACAAAATAAAAAACAAGATTCATGTTTCTTGTAAATTTAGTTGTACAATTCTACATAGTTTATGATCCATCCAAATTAAAATGCAGATTATGTAGGCTGTTCCAGATCATTCGTTCATTCATTCATTCATTCATTCATTCATTCATTCATTCATTCATTCGTTTGTTCATTCATTCATTATTTTTGTGCCTTCAAATAAATGTTGACTCCTGGAAATTGACTTTAAGGGCTAAGAGAGTAATACTGGTGTTCCTTGTCCCATCTTCTTCTAAATAGGTTGATAGATAGATATGATAGAACCTAGAAATTTGAAGGTCTCTACTGTTGATACTGTGTTGTCTAGTATTGTAAGAAGTGGTAGTATGGGAGGGTTTCTCCTTAAGTCTACCACCATTTCTATGGCGTTGAGTGTGTTCAGTTCCAGATTGTTCCAGTCGCACCACGAGGTTAGTTGTTCAACCTCCCGTCTGTATGCGGATTCATCGTTGTCTCAAATGAGACCAATCACTGTTGTATCATCTGCAAACTTCAGTAGTTTAACAGATGGATGGTTTGAGATGCAGTCATTGGTATATAGAGAGAAGTGGAGAGAGCACACCTCCTTGGGGGGGCCCTGTGCTAATTGTATAGGTATCCGATGTGATTCTGCTTAGTTTCACCTGCTGCTTCCTGTCAGGAAGTTTATAATCCACTTACAAGTGTGTTCAGGTACCACTGGTTTAGTTTAGTTAGAAGAATGTCTGGAATGATGGTACTGATGAGAGTCAGGGTAACATAAATGGAGACTTTTCTAGAGTCATCTGAATTTATCTATTTTTAAATTGCCATTGAAATATTGCTTACTTTGCATATTGCCTGGAATGCTGAAAAATCCCAGTCTGATTTATTGATATCAATATCCACCGATACTAATATCCATTGATTTGTAACTGAAATATAATTTTACACTCTGAAGCTTTAGATTATTACTACATTTTTAGCCAGAACTTACTATCCAGGAATTAACTCATTGTGGAGTAGGTAGTGATAGATTCCATTTGTACAATTTTTATTGTAGAAGAAAATAATAGAAAACAAACTGGCCTTCTGGATAAACAAAGACAGAAACAAATATCTGAAGAAACGTTGAAGCAAAACTTAGCACCTTGAAGAAACTGACTTTATTCTATTTTTGTCTTGTCCATAACTACTATAAATCTACTTTAATGGCTCAGAAACACTTTGAGAATACTTTAATTAGGACAAAACTAGAATCTAGGTATGTATTTATATTTATGTACGTAACTTTAATATGATACATTTTTTATTTCAGATAAATAGATACCTGCCAATGAGTGTTGTGTAGCTCTACATCTTCCAGATGATCTACATCTTTTACTTATACATAGTTATATTTAAAACTTATTTAAGTCAAGCATGACTACTAGTAACCACATGGACGCAAAAATAATGTTTGGTCAGCAGTTCATGAAAGTAGTTTGTCTTATGTTGCAGGAATCTCAGAAATTTTGGGGTTTTTTCCCTCTGGTTGTGGAATTCTCGTCTATTTCCTTGGAGAATCACACTGAATTACTTTATGGCCTTGGCACTATATTCCTTGATATTGCACTGAATGTTGCTCTGAAAGCAACAGTTAGCACCATGACTGGACACTCATTCTATCATCACCGTAAATGATACTTTCATTTATATGAACTTTACTAAAAGGTCAAGTAGTATTGTGTTCTTTTTCAATGCATTCATCCTATATTTTTACTCTAGTTTCTCCAATTGTCTTAGAAGTCTAGTTAATTAAGAACTTCTGATCAGCCAGGGCATGCAAGTAGTCACTTAAACTTGCTTCTCTCTAACCTACATAAGTTGATTCCAAAATATTGACTCCTAGCTGTATTACAGGTAGTCAAAGTTACAACAGCACTGAAAAACGTGGCTTATGACTCTTTTTCACACTTATGACCATTGCAGCATCCCCATGGTCACATGATCAAAACTTGGATCCTTGGCAACTGACATATATTTATAATGGTTGCAGTGTCCTGGGAAATCAAGCGATCAACTTTTGTGACCTTCTGATAAGCAAAGTCAATGGGGAAGCCAGATTCACTTAACAACCGTTTTAGTAACTTAACAACTGTTGTGATTCACATAACAACTATGGCAAGAAAAGTCGTAAAATGGGGCAAAACTCACTTAGCAACTGTCTTTCTTAGCAATGGAAATTTTGGACTCAGTTGTGACTGTAAATTGAGGACTACCCATAATTAAAGTTGGTGGGAGGGGTTTCCCTTAATTTTTTTGATTTCCTCACAGATAAGATAAAGAAAAGAAAACAGAACAGCTAGAATGGGAAGAAGATATTGTCAAGATTCTCTTAAACTCTAACCCAATAGGGGCATCACGGAAGCAATAATGATGAAAGCAGCATAATGTCATAAGCTCTACTCCTCTCAAACACACATCATAGGAGCCTTGGTGGTGCAGCGGACTAAAGTGCTGTTAAGTAGTACTTAGCTGCCAGCTGCCTGCAATTACTGCGAGTTCAAATCCCACCAGACTCAAGGTTGACTCAGCCTTCCATCCTTCCGAGGTAGGTAAAATGAGGACCCAGATTGTGGGGGCAATAAAATGACTTTGTATTAAAAAAAACACCGCTTAGGGGGGGCCGAAAGCCCTACTAAGCAGGTATATACAAAAGTATGAAGGCTATTGCTTAACGCATTGTAAGCCGCCCTGAGTCTCCGGAGAAGGGCGGCATATAAATCGAACCAATAAATAAATCATCGCACCACAAGTATATACAAAAGGGTGAAGACATAAACCAGACAGACACTCTGTCAGTAAGCGATTCAGCTAAAGATATCCAGCCTATTAACCTGAAAGACATAAAAGGAGCTACATATAAATTCCACAATCAGAATAAAATTATGGAAAGGCCTTTCATACTGATTACTATACCTCTCCTAATTGGTGTTCATTATGCGATATTATGTTCTTTATATCAATTTATTTAAACAGTATTTTTTAAAAAATAATTCAGTATAATCTTACGTTCCAGATGCTTCACTCGATAGTTCTTGGCTACTACTGAATGTCGTATCTGAAGAATCACTGGCAGAGTTAGCAGATTGTTCTGCCTAGAAAAATAGTAATTCCAAAACAAAAGATTTATTCAGCAAAAGATAACAATGTAAGAAAAATCATTTATTTTATACCTGGGAGTTTTAAACATATATGGGTAAACCTCGGTTTATGAGTGGTTGCTTAACAACCATTTGAAATTATGACAGACCCCACACCCCCCACCAAAGCTATTTACGGTCCAATTTGACCACATATGCACACACCCATAATCATGGAATCAGATTTTGAATGCTGGCATCCAGTTCATGTTCATGGCTATTTGCAGTGTCCCATGGTCACATGTACAATTCTCATCCATTTTTATCTAATCTAATCTAATCTAATCTAATCTAATCTAATCTATCTATCTATCTATCTATCTATCTATCTATCTATCTATCTATCATCTAATTTATTTGCCACCCATGTAGTGGTTCAGGCAACTCTGAGCAGCAGCATCAAGATAAAACAACATATAACTATTATACTGTAAATATAAAATGTATTAAAATCACAAAAAATAAAACAACCTGAAAAACAAGGGTTTGGAGAAGAGAAGTGGATTGTCTTCTCTGTTAGTCTATCAACCACCTCCATTAAGCAGCTACGTCTTTAGAAGAAGAGCCATGGTGGTGCAGTGGTTAGAGTACAGTACTGCAGGCTACCTCTGCTGCCTGCCGGCTGCCTGCAATTTTGCAGTTCAAATCTCAACAGGCTCAAGGTTGACTCAGCCTTCCATCCTTCCAATGTGAGTAAAATGAGGACCCAAATTGTTGGGGGCAATGTGCTAACTCTGTAAACATCTTAGAGAGGACTGGAAAGCACTGGAAAGTGGTACATAAGTCTATTGCTATTGCTATTGCTATTGCTATTAGGACCCCTTGCCAGCCGGCATAGCCAAATTTTAAGGACTTTCCTGAAGGCTAAAAGAAAGAGGGAAGATCTTACCTCCTATGGCAAGATGTTCCAAAGGGCAGGAGTTGTAGTAGAAAAGGCTCTTCTCCTGGATCCCACCAGCTGAAATTCTTTGGCTGATGGGATCCGCAGTAGGGCCCTTCTACCAGCACAAATGGGACAGGTCAATCCCATTGGGGAAAGATGGTTCAGCAGATATACTTATGACCCATGCCATAAAGGGCTTTAAAGGTGATAACCAACACCTTGACTTGCATCTAGAAGCAAAGCAGCAGCCAGTGCAACTCAGGTAAAATTGGTGTTACATGTGCCACCACCATAGAGGTCTGGACCAATTGTAGCTTCCAAATGCTGCTTAAGATTAACCCCATTTACAGTACACTGCAACATTCCAAGTGGGAGGATTATCTTTGCCAGGTTTGCCCTTGATTATTTCAGTTTTTCCAGCAAAAAACAACAACAACACCCATTGGGTAAATGGATTTGCTTGACAATTGGAGTATTCATTTAACAACCACTAAAAAAAGTGTCAAAAACATGACTCTTTGACTTATGATTGCAACAACTTATGACCATAATGCTGTACTCAATTATGATTTTACATAGAGGACTACCTATAGTAACATGCAGTGTGATGTACCAAGAAAAGGGGAAATTACAAGATCACAGCTATAACTAAATAACTGTTAATAAGCAGTCTAAATTCATCCAGGTTTGCACTTAGGAACATCCAATAATGGGGGGGGGGGGGGAGGAGGATTTAATAGGAAACAATGGAAAACTGTATTCCAACCACTTTCATAATGAAGCAATATCAGGCTATAAAGCTATTCATATTTGTTTGAGAGCAAGCACAATCAAAAAGAATGAGACTGAATTCCAAGTAGACACAGAATCACAGTATTCAAAATGGTGCCCTGATTTCATGATTGTGATTCAGAACAAGTGAAATATCTGATAAAACATTATGAACAAGTACTGCATATAGTTTTCCAATCAACCCATGTTAATGATCTGTCAAGATGTTATTCAGGCATGAGTAACTATGGTCATACAAATTCTACTCTGGAGAAATTACAATGAATGCAACAATAATAAGTTGCTTAGATCAGAGGTCCCCAACCTCTGGATCGTAGCCCACTACCAGGCCATTGCTTATTTGCAAACAGGCTGTGTGATCAGTGGGCCGGTGCGTGCATGTGCAACTCTACTCTCGTGAATAGCTGGCTGGTGCGCGCACACACAAGTGCACACATCTCAACTTGTGACAAGTTGAGCTATGTGCACATGCACGCCAGCCTGCTACTCATATGAGTCAGACTGCACACATGCTAGCACACCACTCAGCATACCAGTTCTTCTCCACCTCAGTTGGACCACCAAGCTGCATAGCTTAGGGACCATTGGCTTAGTTACAAGTTTTATATCACCTTTTATAATGAAAACAGTAACAGTCAAACCTTTTGAAGGTTTTCTTTGTGTATATCAAAAGACTGTACCATAATGCAACATGTTAACAATTCCATTCCATGGAACAGGAAAACAAAACTTAAGAGAGCAACCTGATTTCTTTTATCCAAAACATGACAGGGACTATATGGTACATTTCAGTTTACATACTCTGAAAGTTGATGAGCTAGTCAACTTTTCATATGCTAGTTTGGCTGCTTCAAATTTGGCTGCTTGAGCTTTATTTCCTCTTCCAACACCAACTACTATATCATCAATCTGACACTCATAAGAAAAGCTAGAAGATATAAAAGGAGAAAAAAAAATGATGTTCAATGTTGTAAAAGAAGGCTGCTGACCAGTTCCTATCTATTTAGAAGTAACTTTCAGTAAATCAAAGGAGCTTACTGCTGATATAAAAGCATACTGAAAATAAAAGCTGCAATTTTATACATATATCTGAAAATAAGCCCAGTTCAAGGCAGTCAGATTTACTTTTGAGCTTATGTACCTAAAGTGCTTCAAAGTTGTGTAATCAACCTTTTAAAATACACAATTTATTTATACATAGCTATATAGCAGTATATATTTCCTATGTAAATAAATGAGCAAGTTCACAAACTTTTCAGTACCACATATATCAATCTTAAAACCTTAAAATATCACTGTTTCTTTTTTATTTTTTTTTATTTTTTATTCTGTTTTTGCTAGACTGCATTGGCTGTAAAATAAGACAAAATTGTTACAGAGGAAATAATCCATTTGACTTATAAAGAAATAGATTTCAGGTGGACATCAAGAAAAGGTTTCCTTCCACAGAATATATTGTTTCAGGAGACAGTGAACTCTCTTTCACAGGCAATATTTAAACAGAGTACAGGTTGTTCTCTACTAGGGATGTCCTATCAGTGGATCCCCATTCCAGGCAGGAATTGGACTAAATCTCTTCCAACCTTTACATTCTTTTCTTTTTTTTCTTTTCTTTTTTTTTTGGTAGTTCAGCTTACCTATATTTTAACTGTCATTACACTGCAAATTACAGTTTTCACAAGTCTCAAAAGAGATTCATACATGAATGCCTTAATTTTTTCTTATCACAGTTATAAAGTTAAAAATTACAAGGTCATTGCAAAATGAATTAATTAACCTTTACATTCTATGACGGTATGATTCTGCTTATCTTGTAAGCTTAAACAATGCTTGTTAAAATGTGTAACAATATATTATATATATATTGTTACATAAATCTGATAGCTATATTCCTGTGGTTGCAGCCTAAACTTGCATTTGTTTGTTTGCAACATCATCATCTGCTGTTTCACACATTCTCTGTGCAAAAAGGTTTAATTTGGGTTTAGTGTGATATGTAAATAAAGCTACTGTGACTTATAAACCATGACTTATGATTAAGCATGGTGCATAAACCCAATCATTATTCAAGAAACCACTGTCAAATAAAACTATGGCTCATTGCAATGCATGAACCAGTCTCCTATGAATAAAATTCAGTAACACCTACATATCTCAAGAGAATATTTTTTTTAAAAAAATGCAACCCTATTCCCCAAGATAAAATATTATCAGTAACTCACATTGGTTTATGTTCCAATCCAGTTTTAGATATCAAGTTATACTGAACATGCACTTTGTTCTTTAACGCATACTCATTAAGCAAGGAAACATAGTTAATTGAATTTGAAGATGTATATTCAGGAACACGTAGAGAAAGCAGGGATAACGTTGACTCCTTGTGCTGCTCACATGAATCTGGTTCTCCCTACAAAAAAAATAAGCGTAAGTAAATCTGCTTGAGGAGAGTGAAATTGTTCTTGGAATTCCTCCGCAAAGAACAGATAACTTGCACTTCATTTATTATCTCTTGTAAAGAGAGATAGTAACATAAATTGCAGTATTTTTGGCAAAAGTATTGTTCTGATTTAGCAAAATGTACAATGGATCACAAATATATACTGAAAGCAAAGAGAGAGAGAGAGAGAGAGAGAGAGAGAGAGAGAGAGAGAGAGAGAAGAAGGACAGATCTACTTTATGACCCCAAGACTATGTAAAATATTTGTGCATTGTAGAAAGCTTTGGACTGGGGGTCGGGGATAATTCCAGGCATATCCCATAGGCCTAAGGTGGAAGTGGAATTGTGATAAAGTTAGCTTATGGCATAATAAATATGTTAGTTTGAAGTAACTCGAAGATGTTTTTGTGCAACCTTGAAAAATCTTGCTTTACAGAGAAAAAAAAACTTGCTGAGAGAGTTTCTACATAAGGTCCTGTGCCCCTGACAGTAGTACCTAGCAGAAGTTGAAAAACCCTCACACTGTGCAAAGAGGGGAAGAGTTTACAGGGGAAATACGGCATAAAAGGTAGCACCTCTTCCCCTGTAGGTACCCTTCCTAGAATCAGCTACCTGGAGTTAATCACTGAAAGGACATTCCTTTCCTCAGCACAGACGGGCTGGGGAATGCTTAATTTGACTTTACGGCAAAGATGGTCAATTCATGGCCTTCAACCCTCATGGAGACCTGTTCTAAAGCTCTGAGAATTGGCAATTGCCTTCCAATCTGAAGTAGGAAACATGAAAACTAGATTAATTCCTAAAATAAGTTTAAACAGCATTTTAAAAGGAAAATTTATAATCCTCTCCCAAATCTAGACAAACCCTACTCACTTTGGCTGTTGCCATTCTCCAAATTTGACTGCAACCTCCACAGTAAAGGAAAAATAATTCTAATCACTCTTTATGGCCATGATAGGCAAGAACATATTTAAAAAGCTCACCATGTTGTCTTAATCTTAATTATTTTAATCAATCCCAGTTTGAAAATCTATACCCTTTAAACCTAACTTATGCCATAATTTTAGATTTTAGACTAGATTTGAAAGCATAATAGAGTGTGAGGAAAAGGACCTTGATAGACACGTGCAAGAAATGTTAACAAAGCAAAACGCCTGTGTCCTGAGCACAATCTTGTACTGCAATGAGTCTTGGATCCTCTACGCACGGCAGGAGAGAAAGTTGAACACCTTTCACATGTGCTGTCTCCGACGAATTCTTGCCATCACCTGGCAGGACAAAGTTCCAAATAGCGCAGTCTTGGAACATGCTGGAATTTCTAGCATGTATATACTATTGAAACAGCGACGTCTACGCTAGCTGGGGCATGTCATGAGAATGGCTGATGGTCGGATTCCGAAAGATCTCCAGTATGAAGAATTAGTGCAGGGAAAGCGCCTCAGAGGGAGACCATAGCTGCGATATAAGGATATCTGCAAGAGGAACCTAAAGGCCCTGGGAATGGACATTAACAACTGGGAAACCTTGACTTCCGATTGTTCAGCTTGGAGGCTAAAGATGCAGCATGGCCTTCTCCAATTCGATGAGACACTTGTTCGGCAGGCTGAAGCAAAGAGGCAGTCCTGGAACCAGCGAAATCTGGGGGCTGGGCAGGGGACAGAATGTATCTGCCCTCAGTGTGGAAGGGATTGCCACTCTCGAATTGGCCTTTTTAGTCACACTAGATGCTGTTTTAGGACCTGTTTCCAGAGCACGATACCATAGTCTCTTGAGACTGAAGGATGCCAATGCCAAAACGGGTTGAAATATTACATCTACAAAAATGAAATAAGATTTAAGAGTGACTCAAACAGTCGACCTCATGATTCACTGGAGTATAAGGGGGAGAGAGGGGAGGTTCAGTATAATTTGCCTTGCACTATTCCATTATTATAGCTAATCTCAATAAAGGTAGTTTTAGCCTTCCCAAGGAATTATTTCCTGGTTTGGTCTACTTAATGAGGCTTACATGAAGGGAGGATTTTATTTTCCCACTTGGTCACACAGAGCAGAAATGTACAAATAATACATCTGCCTATCTCAGCTCTAGTCTAAACATCTGGCTGAGTGTGCAAACAACCATAACTATAACAACAACAACAATAATTTATTGTTATATTATATGCTGCAAGAAGATCACATAGACTGACTACAAATAATGACATTATAAAGTAGGAACAATGTTGCATCTGAAGATCTACAAGAAATATCATTTGCCTGCAAGCAAGAACTGGTGGGACCCTAAAATAGAGAAAGTCATATAAAATGAAGAAAGTAAATTGCTCTGGGACTTTAGAATTCAAACAGAAATATAATACCCCAGACTTAACAACTGTTGAAAGACAAAAAAGTCTGGATAGTGGACATGGCAGTATCTGGGTACAGCACAATAAAGGAGAAAGAACTTGAGAAGATAACAAAATACAAAGACCAGAAAATAGAAATAGAAGGACTGTAGCAAAAGCAAGTAAAGGTAGTGTCAACAGTAACAGGAGCCTTGGGTGCAATCCCAAAACAACTGGAGTACCACTTGAACACCACTGGCATTGACAAATTCACCATCAATCAACTGCAAAAGTCAGCTTTACTTGGAACAGCTGACATCCTGTGATGATATCTGTAACACCATCAAACATCCTTATCTGACTATCCCAGGTCCTTTGAAAGGACTCGATAGGAAGACAAAAATGCCAAATCCAGTCTGAACATATGGCTGACTGTGCGATGAATCATAATAATATTTTATTAAATTTATATGCTGCCTGACTCCAGCAACTTCAGTTGTTAGGAAAGGAAGTAACTGATGATTTTGTTGTCGTTGCTGCTGCTGTTGTTTTTGATGTTCGAACATCATGTGACATGATGATACTGGCATACTTTTTTATTTAACAAACATTTTACTGAATGGCTTATGACCAGTCAATTTTGGAAAAGCTATTTGTTAAGTGAAGAATGCTGCCATAGCAATGCTATGCTTGCTTCCTTTTCCATGACAAACAGAAATGTATGCAGAGGCAGATTAGAACACAAGTTGATCGTGCTCTCTCCTGAGGGGAATCCCAAACTATCCTTTCTTAGTGAAAATATGAGCCTGGTTGCTCAAACCTGCTGTCTAGATCAGGGGTCCCCAAGCTGTGAGCCGCAGCCCACTAGTGGGCCATGAGGGGTTTGCAACTGGGCCGTGGAAATGGCTGGCAAGCACACACACGCGCAGTGGGTGAGCATGGGCACACATTCCGTTTACACGAGCAGCAGGTGATTGTGCATGCTGCTTGCGCAAATGGAGCTGCGTGTGTGTGCTTACTGGCCACTTGCATGAACCATTCCCTTCCTCCCTGCCAGTCCGCAAAGCCAGAAAAGCTGGGGAATCTTGGTCTGTAGGCACTCCTCCACTTACCTCTTTTTGCTTTTGTATGGTATTCCAGGCTAATACAGCTGCCTGAGCTTTTGCTTGTTTCTTGGTTTTACCAATGGCAGATTCATATTGGACCTTGCCGATGACAACTGCTACAGTGAATCTACAGTGAAGAAAGTAATTTATAAAATATTGTGAAGTGGGAGGAGAGATGCATCGTCTGCAAAATACACTCCATTGCACAATTATAACTCCCATTTTCTCCATCATCAGGAAAAAAAGTTAACAACAGGATAGTCTTGGAAGACCAGATCATTTGTTTCCTTTTTTCCCTCAAATCATCCAAGTGGGGAGGGGCTGTTTTAATGAAATCTCAGGTTCCCCAAATTCCAGTAGGGGATTCTGATATGAGAAGACTATTTTCTCTGAACTACATTTCCATTCCTGTCTCTATCTTGAAACCATCCTTCTAGCTAAATGCTGGGCACAAAGAACAGGGATAGAACCACTTCTCGTTTAATCACCAGCTCGGTTAGCAACCGTTTGCAAACAGACAGCAATAATAATAATAATAATAATAATAATAATAATAATAATAATAATAAAATAATATCATCATTTTATGACCAACACCTACATCTAGGACCAAATTTTAAATGCCTGATAGCAAAAGCTTTCAGATGATTAAGATTTGGTCAGTTTCAGGTAGGAGAGGCCAGCCTGCCAGAGGGTTCTTATCAACTCATTAAGGTCACAGAACCCAGCTCCTTAACTTATGGTCTTAACTTTTTAGGGACATGCTGCTCTGTGGAGAAAAGGAGTCCAGGAAGAAATAGCTTTTTAAGCACTCTCTGCTGTGGAAAGATGCAAAAAAGGAAGGGGAGAAAACAAGTCCAACCCAGGACACTGTATAAAATAACCTTAATCTGAATCAGACAGCAGCAACCAATCATCTTCGTAACAACACTCTCTCTCACTCACTCTCTGTGGTTTTGTTGGGGGGGGCACACAGTTTGCTTAGTAATCATTTAGCTTAATGACAAAATTGATGGAACAGACTGCAGCCAGTAAACAAGGACAGGGTATACAACTTCTGTAACAGTGGTTCCTAAACTGACACAATTACTCCTTTTCCCAGGCCCAATAATGCCATTATCCCCACATAAAAAATCCAGACTGCTCTATTATCCCTTTTATGATCTCTGGATATTCATCAACTTACACACGATCATGAGATGGGCCTGTGATAGCAATGTCTTTGTACTCCAATTTTAAACCTTTCTTCTGACAATGTTGATTAAGTTTGTTCATGAATGTATGTGGGTCAGGATGGTTGTCAGCCATGTTATAACCTAAAAGAAAAAAATCACAATAGGCATATTTACTTGCAACTCCCTAAACATAGCAATGACACTGTTTTTAATATTTCCCAATCTTTTCATAATCACCTGCACAGCCATATTCTGTACCACCTGCAGATTCTGAATACTCTTTAAGAGTAGCCCCATGTATATTATGTTGCAAGAGGTATCTAACACTCCAGTGACAATAAATAGGACTTCCCAATACAATAAATTGATGACCTGCAAATCTACATTCACTCAGTTTCACTAGGGTTAATTCTGACCCTGTTCTTCCCAAACCAGACACCTAAAGCCTCCCAATCTAGAGACAGATCAGCCAGTAGCCTCACATAGAAGTTTAGGGAGAGCTGGCTACAAACTTGGTTGGCTTCAAAAACTGTTGAACCAATTCAGGAAACTTATTGCAATCAGTGGCTACCTTGACTGCAGGGTGGATAAAAATCAATGATTTTTTTTAAAAAATCAGATTTTTTTAAATTTAAATTGGATTTTTTTTATTTAAATTGGATTTTTTTGATTTTTATTGAATTTATTTTAATAAAAAACTTTGGGGGTAAAAATCTATCGTAAGATAGTTTTCTATTTAAGATACATAAATAATTTAGTTTATTCAGGATGAAATGGAGCTTAGTTATATAGCATGAGGCTGTATATTCTGCAACACTGGGACTATCGGTGAGTCAACAATGGGTCAAAGGAGTAGCAGAGATGACAGTTGCTCTTTAAAAATTATGATTTAAATCGAGTTGATTTAAATCAAGCCTTTTTACTAGTGATTTAAATCATGATTTAAATTGTGATTTAAATCAACTCGATTTTAATCAAATCCACCCTGCTTGATTGCAGTGTGATTGTCTCTGAAGGCCATCTTCAAGAAGACTATGGAATTCCTTGTGCAGATGGCCATTGTGAGAACAGACTAGACTAGATAAGCAAGGAATCTGATCCACCATAGCATGGTTTTTATTATGTTCATTGAAATCTCAAGAACCTCACAAGGAAAGGTAATTTAATCTCTTGCCCTATTACCAAGACCAATTGGAACCTTCCTCAAAGAAAGGAAAACCACTGACAGTCAATGACATATACTGTAAATCTATATTTTGACACTCAAATACAGGTTGCAAATTCAGTAAAAAATGATACCAACGCTTGCACAGAATTGCAGCATGATGTACTTTGATTTGTCATGTCAAACTAAGCTAGAGGACCACACATTAGAGTTGGGATGTCCAGGGACAGCAGGAACATCTCTACCAACAGTGGCCCTCTGTGCATAGTACAATAAACAGTAAAAAAAAAACACAAGTTAAATTGTTTGTTAGCCTGCCACTCTTATTCATCATCATGCCTGGTTTCTACCTGCAATTTACTATATTATCACATAGTTCAGACCCAAAATGAAGGCCATCTTCAAAATCCAAATATCAGACTTTGCACTCAAGATTTGCTATAGCTTAAGCGGCTTGGTTTCTAACCACAACTGTATTTTGGGTATAGGCAAAAAAAAAAAATCCTGCAAAATTCAGTTACACAATTATGAGCCGTTTATAAGTCGCTAAATAATACTTCACCTGCCTCACAAACCTAGAATTGAAATCAGCATCGACCAATCCTCTACATCAGTGTTTCTCAACCTTGACAACTTGAAGATGAGTGGACTTCAACTCCCAGAATTCCCCAGCCAGCTATGCTGGCTGGGGAATTCTGGGAGTTGAAGTCCACTCATCTTCAAGTTGTCAAGGTTGAGAAACACTGCTCTACATACAGCCCCGTTTTTCAATCTTGGAAACTTTTCAATGTGTGGACTTCAATTCCTAGCCTCCCTTGGGCTGCTGGGAGTCGACGTCCATAACAGGTGGAGGATGGCCGCTGTACGGGGTTCAGGAATCCAAATAAAAGTGCCATATCTCTAATCCAGGGGTCCCCAAACTTGGCAGCTTTAAGACTTGTGGGCTTCAACTCCCAGAATTCTCCAGCCAGTTACCCGATGATTTTCCAAGCCTTTGCTTGAAAGCAAATCAAGCGGAGCTCCGGGAAGAAACCGAGAATTTCGCAGGGAAACCTGCTGGGTGGGTGCGGGGAGTGCTTCCTCAAGAACGCTTGAACCGAACCTCGACTGAGCCGATTTCATTTAGTAAACCGATTTTATTTAGAAAAAGCCTAAATTCATGTCAGTGCGCCCTTCGCCTCCCCCTACTTTCCATATACACAGAGCACCTTCAAGACAAGGAGGCCCTTTGGCGTTCCTGAATTTGAGGACTCCTACCGGTCCCCAGCAATGGCGAGAAGCCTATTCTCCCGCCCCCCATCTCCCGCCGGTTGAATACTCACCTAAGCAAGCAGAAGCTCTGGAACTAACAGTTTTTCCCCGGGAATAATAAGCCCTGTCACCTTTCTCCTCCAGCAGAGAGGAGCTGAGGGGGAAGCACTTACGCTTTCCACTTTCGTTTCTCCGGAGGCTCGCGTGGCTAATCTGCCCCCACCCGAAATCTCGGGGAAATCAGGCAAACTCGCCGAGGAAATCGAAAGTAAAATTGTACCATGAGGGAAAGTGCACCGCCCAGCTCGTAGCCAAGGTCAAGGCCTCTCCCTGCTGCCGGCTCCCGGGGGCCGGGGGTAGGAAGAGGTAGGAAATGGCGTGTCTGAAATGCCAATGTTTCCCGCTCTTGGCGGGAATGAGGCAAAGGAAGCTGCTCGACCACGAGAAAGGCTCTGCTTGGGAGACGCGGCGGTGGGTCCGACCCCCAGAGGCTGGGAAAACCTGCCAGTTTGGATAATGTGACGGCGAACGATATCACGCAGCGATGGTTGTGAGAGGGTAGGAGCCGGTAGGAAGCTGTGGTCCCTAGATAAGATAAAGGATGTGCTTGGACTTCAGCAGGAGAAAGAAAAAAAAGACACTCCTGCTTCCTAAATTTGGATGAAATTCAGCGAGATGGGTAAACCGAATGACCACGTGGGCAGCAGCGTTGGCCTCTGGCCCGAAATTACAAAAAAACAAAAAAACAAAAACCGAGGACAAGAGAACTTAGAATAACTATTGAATGTACAGTAATCGGCATTCTTTAAAATGAAATTTTGTTGCATACAGTTCTCAAAGGGTCACCACCTCCAATATACACTACCTAAACACAAATGAATGAATGAATGAATGAATGAATGAATGAATGAATGAATACATATATACATAATTATGCATATACCCACATATATTATATGACACAGAGAAACAACATAGAAAAATACATTCTTTCCGAGCTGAGGAGGAATTCCTTCAATAGCAGCTCCAAGGTAGTTGGCTTCTTGCTGGGAGAGATCCCGGAGAAGGCCGGTGTCTGGAAATCCCTGTTAAGCAAAAGCTAGAAGAATTCATTCACACATCTGGATCACAGAGGAATGCTGTTAATTATTTCTGTCTTGAAAAGAAATAATTTGATGGAAAATGCTCATTTCGAGATATCTCCCTTTCCCTCTTGAGTCCAATTGAAAACAGCCCTGAAAAGGATCTGTTTTCAGTTCTATTCTGACATCAGGACTCTAGAACATGAGCATGGGGATATGTTTGTAGATCTACAGGTCACAGAAAACAGTCCATCTGTGCTCATTGGTGAAAGAATTACCTGAATGCTTCATTTGTCCCCATCTCCACCTTTCCACTCAGTTGAGTGTTTAACAGCCACCCCATCTCACTTACAATATAGAAGAATAAAGTGCTTGTACCTGAAAGATCAGGTTAGGGACAGATCATCATGGAGAAAATCTATCTGGCACTAAATTGATATTGATTTGATGACACATAATCAGACAACGCAAAGCTGTATATTGTTATCCTGTTTATTTAACTTACTGTATGTGCAAAATACATCATAGAAAATACCAAGATGGATGAATCACAAGCCAGAATTAAGATTTCTGGGAGAAATATTAACCTCAGTTAAGCAGATGATATCACTCTGGCAGAAAGTGGGGAAGAACTAAAGAGCCTATTTATGAGGGTGAAAGAGGAAAGTGCAAAAGTTCGGCTGAAACTCAGCATTTTAAAAAAAGCTAAGATCATGGTGTCTGGTCTCATCACTTCCTGCCAAATAGAAGAGGAAGAAATGGAAACTGAGATAGATTTTATTTTCTTGGCTCCAAGGTCACTGTGAATGGTGACTGCAGCCATGAAATTAAAAGACGCTTGCTTCTTGGGTGGAAAGCTATGGCAAACGTAGACAGCATATTAAGAAGCAAAGACATCACCTTTCCATCAGAGGTCCATATAGTCAAAACTATGGTTTTCCCAGTAGTAATGCATGGCTGTGAGAGTTGGATGCTAAGGAAAGCTGAGTGCCAAGAATTGATGCTTTCAAATTGTGATGGTGGAGAAAATTCTTGAAAGTCCCTTAGACTACAAGGAGATCAATTCAGCCAATCCTTGAAGGAAATCAACCCTGACTGTTCTTTTGAAAGACAGATAGTGAAGCTGAAGCTCAAGTATTTTGGCCACCTAATGAGAAGAGATAATTCATTGTAAAAGACCCTGATGTTGGGAAAGATTGAAGACAAAAGGATAAGAACAAGATGATTAGACAGTGTCTTTGACACAGCAAACATGAGTTTGGGCAAACTCCGGGAGACAGTGGAAGAGGGGAGAGGAATGCAATGGTCCATGGGTCACAAAGAGTCAGACATGATTTAGCGATTGAACAACAATAAAAAATAATCAGACAATTCATCTACTCTGAAGACAAAGATCAATGGATAATTCTTTGCCATCTGTTATATTGGAAAATAAGACAAGTGACCTATTGAAGGTATGGTGACGGGTGAGGTATAAAAGATGTATGAATGCTTCATGTATCAAGGTGAAGAAAGCACTTTCTTTTTCAGTATTTGATCTTCCATCCATGTAATGGTTCTTGAGTTCCTTTCATATCTGTTGCTGGTCCCTATTTTTTAACTCATTGAGTTTTCAATGAGGTACAGAATAGGAGAGCAGAATTCCATGTTTTATCCATCTTTATTCAATACCAAAAGCATTCCTGCTTTTTCATTGTAACATCATGAAAATAATTACACCTGTTGAACTGGGCACAGTTGATTCTCTGTTTCCCTGTATCAATTTGGGTCACTTTCTTCCTGAAATAATGAAGGAAGTGTCAAGGTCGCTAATCATTTTCAATCATTTTCAATCATCCATCCATATAAGAGCTAGGTAACTCCGTCATGGGAGTCTATTTCTACTGTCATTTTTCTGTGTATCCTGTTATAATTACCCAAATTAGAAAAAGAAGTGTTGGTACTGTTTAGCTGAATTTATATCTTTCCATATATTTCCTCATTTTACTTTATTTTAAAACTTTAGATTTTTTGTTTTTGTTTTTTGTGAGATGTGCAAATGGCATGTGGGACAAAAGTGTAGGCAACCTGCCTAGAGTGCTCCTAGTGAAATTTCCAAATTGATAGAGTTGTATAACAATGCTAGGAATCATCCCATATGCGCTGTTTGACCTCAATTAATTATGGGGAGATGCTTTGCATCAGTTGGTGATGTGCTGAGGGGAGTTTGCATTAATGCCATAGGAGATTACCTAAAACTAATATACCTGAAATCAGGTTAACACAGGGGTGAAATGCTCCCGGTTCATCCGGTAGCGATGGCGGCGGGTGATTCGGAGAACCGGTAGCAAAAATTCCTGTGCCCCCCCCCCCACTATGCCCAGCTGTGCCGCACGATCATCAGAGGCTCTTTTCTTTTACTTTTAAAAGCATTATTTCTACAACCTCTTCTGACGAAAAAATGCTTTTAAAGGGGGGAAAAAAAGCCTCTGATGATCGCACGGCTCAACTGGGATCGTCAGAGGCTTTTCAAAGCATTTTTTTAAAAAGCCTCTCTGACGATCCCAGATGAGTTGCCTGATTGGCAGAGAGGCTTTTCAAAGCATTTTTTAAAAAAGCCTCTCTGACGATCCCAGCTGAGTTGCCTGATCGGCAGAGGCTTTTCAAAGCATTAGAAAAAATGCTTTGAAAAGTTAAAAAAAAAAGAAGTTGGCCATGCCCACCCAGTCACATTACCACCACCACCACCAAGCCACACTCACAGAACCGGTAGTAACAAATTTTACATTTCACCACTTAACATGACTTAGCTTGGAATTAAGAAGGCAGGAAGCAGATTGGTGATGGGAAGCCAATATTTATTTATTTATTTATTTTATTTTATTTTATTTCCAATTTATATACCGCCCTTCTCCCTGAGGATTCAGGGCGGTGTACAGCCAGAATTAAGAACATGAAATACAAATATTAAAAAACAATTAAAATATATATAAATTTGGCCCAAAAATTAAAAATCACAAACCAATTAAAACATTTAAAAATTTCTTCTTAAGCCAGCCCGGCTTGCTGGAAAAAATGAGTTTTAAGGGCACGGCAAAAGGCACTGAGGTCTTGGATTCTCCTTATCTCTGGGGGCAACTGATTCCAGAGGGTAGGTGCCCCCATGGAGAAGGCCCTCCCCCTGGGGGTCACCAGCCTACATTGTTTGGCTGATGGCACCCTGAGGAGGCCCTCTCTGTGGGAGCGCACGGGTCGATGGGAGGTCGTCGGTAGCAGCAGGCGGTCTCGAAGATAGCTAGGCCCTATGCCATGGAGCGCTTTAAAGGTGATGACCAACACCTCGAAGCGCACCCGGAAGACCACCAGGAGCCAGTGCAGCTCGCGCAGGAGCGGTGTTACATGGGAGCGCCATGCTGCTCCCATCACTACCTGCGCTGCTGCGTTCTGGACCAGTTGGAGCCTCCGGGTGCTCTTCAAGGGGAGCCCCATGCAGTAGTCAAGGTGAGAGGTGACGAGGGCGTGAGTGACTGTGCAATATTAGGTTGGCACTGCTTTAGTCTGATAAGATGGTTGTGTAGTGCTTAAATCAGTGATTGAAAAATGACCTATGACTCTACCCATTGCTGTGAATGAAACTCTCATTCAATTTTCTGATAATGAATGAGCAGTCTGGGACTGATAACTGTCTTAGTGAAAGGAGATGTTATAATAATTGTTTCAAGCATACAAAACATGCTGCAGATATTACCCAGAAATATTTGCAGAAATCTTGAATGGAAAGTCAGTATTATTAGTATATTTCACATTTGCTAGGGGAATGTTCTGTCCCCGTTCCCACACACACACAAACAGCCAGCCGGGGGTTAAAGAATTACTTGGCACACACAGGGTTCGTTATCAGGAACTTGGCAGCAATACGATAACAGTCTGCCAAGTGCTTTACTTCAAGAAAAGGGAGTGTTCCTCCACCAGGTAATCACAAACAAATACACACAGTTTCCAAAACACTCCAGTTCAAACAGAAGCCTTCAGCAGATTTCAGCGTTATACAAAGCGACGAGCCAGAAGTTAGCTTTGTCCGTCACAGAATCTAAATGGCCACCACACTCTCTTATATAGCCTGTGGGGTGTGGTCCAGTGACTCAGCTTAATCCCTGGCACGCCTCTTCATCTGCTGCAAATATTTATCTCGCCTTCGTTGGCGTGGATCCAGGAACGACGTATTACAGTCATCGCTATCATCGGAAACACCTGGCTCCTGGCCAATTTCCTCTCCCTCGACAGGCACCTGAGGCATAGTCAGAGAGGAGGGGCCTGGAGAGGGAGGCCTGGCCGGCTCCTCTCCTTCATGTTCGGAGCCTTCTTCCTCTGATAAGATGGGCTCAGGGGTCGGAGCCACAACAGGGAAGCTCAAAAAAAATTACTTGCTGGTTCTGAACATATTTATATCTTTACAGCAGAAGCAAAAAAAATGAATAGTCTTATTTATTTATTATTTGGTGAGAGAGAGAGAGAGAGTTTTGTGTGGTGTGGTGTGGTATGGTGTGGTATGGTGAGGTGATTAAGGTGTTGGCCTAGAAACCAAGAGACTGAGTTCCTCAGTATGAAAAAAACAGTTGGATGACTTTGGGACAATCACTCTCTCTCTCTCTCAGTCCAACTCACATCACAGGATTGTTGTGGGGAAAATAGGAAATATTTGCTGCTTTGAACTGTATATGAAAAAGGCAGCATAAATTCTTTTTAAAAAATGAATATAGCCAACCATATCCCATGTGTGTCTCTAGAGTAAAAGTAAATTTTTTTTTACCAAAAACAAAACTACAAAAGCCATTACAAATTAAAAACAATTAAAACCATGAAACATTTTCATCATTTAGTCACCTGTATTTAAATATAATCATCTGAATGTTAAATTAGTATCCTTCCTCTCTGCTCAATTGGGCATGCTTATTTTATTATGACCATCTGTCCCTTCAATATTTCATATCATAGATTTTTCTATCCTTCCTAGATCCTTTTCCCATTAAGGATTAAATCCAGTGTATCCTCCAATGGAATTCATTCGGATCTTCTCTTCTGAAGTCTTGTATGTAGTGTTGATTCTTCTGAGCTGTTTCTCTTCTGGATATAATGAATTAAAGGATACTATGAATACTTCTTCCCAAGGTGTACCTTCTTCAACCAATCCTCTCTTGGTAAGGATTAGACCTAGAATAGCAGAATACTTACTACTTTCTTCTACAATATTTCTGCCAAATGAAGATATCAGCAAGATAAGATGTTGAATCTCTGACTTTTGGCAGGATTAGATATGACAAAAGTGTTTGTGAATTGCAATGTTGTTTCAAAAGGGATAGAATTGTTGTCTCTTTGAAATATGATGGTTATTAAAAATATGAAAGACAATTTCATAATAACACTTTCATAGCATTTACATGCTAATTCCTAAATCTTATTTGAAAGTTAAAATTAGATTGAATAAACATAAAGCAAAACCAAACAGTAAAACATCTTGAAATATATATTATTTTTATTAGTTTATTAATTTAATTTCTTGTTTAGAAAAGCTATGTCTTTATTCCAAAAGTACAAATCTTAAAATTTGCAATATTTGTCATATTTTAGTTTTGCACCCAGTTTAGTCCCAGCTAAACATGCTTCAAATTTTGCATCCATTTCTTTGCTCTGAGCTTCAGTGAACAAAGTTCTCCAATCGCCCACTTCACCTGTACAGAATCAATGAAAAAAGAATTAGTTATGTCTTCATCTATAAAAGTTCAATAGTTTGAAACATCTTTGGAATGTGGAATCATGCATAATTTATATGCTTTTTAATGTATTCATATGCAATTCTACAGCTTTTTTTTTTTTTTTTTGTATTCTTGAATACAGCTTATCTGTCTGGAACCCGCATTGCATATCGGACATTAATACAATCGAACGAGTCCAGAGATATTTCACAAAAAGAGTCCTCCACTCTTCTGCTCGCAACAAAATACCTTATGCCACCAGACTTGAAATTTTGAGCTTAGACAACTTAGAACTTTGCCGTCTTTCGTCTGATCTAAGCATAGTACATAAAATCATCTGCTACAATGTCCTACCAGCCAATGAATATTTCAGCTTCAACCAAAACAATACAAAAGCACACAATAGATACAAACTCATGGTAAACCGATCCAAACCAGACTGCAGAAAATACAACTTCAGTAACAGAGTTGTCAACGCCTGGAATGCAGTACCTGATTCTGTGGTTTTTTCCCCAAACTTTAACCTTAGACTGTCTACTGTCTGCCCCATTCCTAAGAGGTCTTTAAGGGGTGTGCTTAAGCGCACCAGCATGCCTACTGTCCAGTGGTGGGTTTCAAAAATTTTTACTACTGGTTCTGTGGGTTTGGCTTGGTGGGTGTGGCATGGCTTGGTGGGCGTGGCTTGGTGGGCGTGGCAGGTGAAGGATACTGTAAAATCTCCATTTCCACCCCACTCCAGGGGAAGATTACTGCAAAATCCCCATTTCCTCCCGGTCAGCTGGGACTTGGGAGGCAGAGAATAGATGGGGGCAGGCCAATCAGAATTTTTACTACCGGTTCTCCAAACTACTCAAAATTTCCACTACCAGTTCTCTAGAACTGGTCAGAACCTGATGAAACCCACCTCTGCTACCGTCCCTGTCCTAATGTTTTCTTTTATTTGTATCCTTTTCATGTATTTATAATTATGTTTACACTTGTATCTGTCATAAAATACATGCTTGACAAAAAATACAAAATAAAAATAAATAAATAAATAACTCAGAAATAAGCCCTGTTGAATTTAATGGGTATTCCAGATAGTAAAGCTTTGTAGCCTAAAACACTTGGGAATAAACCAAATGAAGTGATAGGTGTAATTAACATCCAAAACATTTGGACGGTGGTAGGTTGCTTCTGTGGTGGCAGGATTCATGACTATATCTGTTTATTTAAAGAATGAAATACACATATTAGATCAGGTTTATATTTTACATATGATGATAAAAATAAAAAGACATTTCAGTGTCTTTTAAAGGGTTTCTGTTCCTCTATTCTGCAATGCAGCAGAAAGACAAAACTTTGAAATAAACCCTCAAAGTACTGATACTATAGCAAATCATAAACCTTAGTTGTTGCTTTTAATATTAATTATCTCCACTAGAGGACGTGTGTGTTCTTTGAAGAAACAACTTCTTAACACAGCAGTCTTGAGACCTGAGGGAAACAATACCTTTTCTGAAAATAACAGAAGCAAAGTGACCAAGAACTTCTGGAGATTTGCTGCTCATTGCTTGAAAGGTAGTCTTATCTGCAACAGACTTAATCATCTCATCAGACAGAGGGAGTTCATAAAAGTCAGCAATTCGTTTGACTCCTTCCAGAAGGTCCTGTAAAATAGGACAATCAATTATTTCACCTCTAGAACCATTTAAAATAATACAGGTAGTCTTCATTTTACAACAACAATTGGAACCGGCAACTCGCTTTGCTAAGCAATTTGGCTGTTAAGGGAGATATCACATGACTGTGACTTGGGATTTTACTGTTGGCTTCTTCATTGACTGCTTGTTGGAAGAAGCCATGAAGCATATAAGAACTGATAACATAATCATGGGACTTTGTGAAGGTTGTAAATACCCTGCAGTTGCCAAGCGCCTGAATCTCAACGACGTGATCGTGGGGATGCTGTGATGGTCATAAGTATGAGGACCAGTTGTAAAGTTACATTTTCAGCACCGTAATCATTAATAGTTACCAAACGTGACAGTTGTTGAGTGAGGGCTACCTATACACTGTACTCTGCTTTGACACCCAAGAATGGGATGAGTTAGAGTTAGTGTTTTCTCAACATTGATAAGCATGAACTTCAACTCCCAGAATTCCCCAACCAGGTTATAGAAAAGTACGGTATTATAGTGCATTAATGTCTTTATTAATGAGAGGAAGTAAATGATGTGCAGAGGTGAAAATTATTATGTTCAAGGTTTCAGGGTTTATAGTACAAAGCTTTAATTTCTGAGGATCACATGTACAACATTGTGCTGTTTATATTAAATATTTACATATATTTTTCATTTTTGCAAATCCAATTATAAATATGTATTTCAGCTTCGCTAGCATTTATAGACCCTGCATTAGGATTGTCCCCAGGGGTGGGTTCTAAATTTTTTTACTACCGGTTCTGTGGGCGTGGCTTATTTTGTGGGTGTGGCTTGGGGGGGTCATGTGACTAGGTGGGCGTGGCTAGCTGGTCAGAGTCATTTCTGGAAGGTCCTTGCACTTACGACCAGTCCTCACACTTACGACCCGACTCATTTGTTTGCTTTTAACACTGATCAGCTGTAGGACGGCCCTTTGAAGCTCCGCGGCAAGAGTTTAAACAGTTTTTTTCCCTCTAGTCATCAGGTGGGACTCAGGAGGCAGCAATAGATTGGGGGTGGGACCAAATAAAAGGTAAGAATAACGTGGGGGGTGGGGGGGGAGAACCAGTTCAGTGACGTCATAGCGTCACCGCTACCAGCTCGGCTGAACCGGGAGGAATCCACCACTGATTGTCCCTACCTGTAGAAAAACCATTTATATTTTCATTTAAAAATATTTAACCCAAATAACCTGGATATCAAGTAGATTAAGTAATGAAAATACACTCTATATTAATTATGAAGCTTTGCAACACAGAAAAGTCAGAGCATAGCACTGAGACCAAACACTAAAGAACAAGGCTAGATTTTTTTAGACTGCACTAAAAGTAAGTTTATTTGTGGTTTAGGTATTGAATAATTCTAGCCACTGTGATTCATAAAGCATACTTTATGGATTATCATACTAACCAAGAAACCATGCTTACGCGAAAAGTGACAAAGAATGATATGTCAACTCAACCTAGCTCATTTCCCAGTCATCCTACGACACATAGGATAGAAGAATAAAAGTCTTTCTCACTTGTGCCCTGCACATTGATAGGTCCATGCCATTGACCTAACTGTGTCTCTGATCATACCTGAAGCAGCTTAAAGCTGTTGTCACTGTTCCCTTAAGCAGTCAACGTGTTGTGCAGAGTCTGTCTAGACTCTGACACACTTCACCAACCATTCTATTAATGTTACAGGATCAGCCTAGCAACCAATTGGCCACTTCTGGCTGTTGGTGTCCTCCAGGGATATTCTATTTGGGAAGGCAGGAAATTTGGATCTTTTTATCTGGGTTCCCCCATTCATCTATCAGATCTCCAAGCCAATTTCAGTTCATAAATCTGGATCAGCCTGAAAAGCAATCCTGGGAGCTAAAGCAGGAATGTTCACCACTACTCATGATGGTGATGAAAAAATGGTCATGCGTGTATGATGATGTCATTGTACAAACTCCATCCTTTCTTGCTTGTATCTTACTGGACACAAGTCATAGGATTTGCATCAAGATATTATAATTCACTTTTTTATCACTAGTACCTTTCTTGCCCCTTCCCACAGATGCCTATCTGCACATATAGAAGTTGCCCATATTGGGGAATGCTGGAGAAGGTTTTCTCCATTAGCTACAGGCTACAGAAAAATGAATGTATAATACAAATATTATTATAATTTCTAAAAGGCTTACTTCTTTCAGTTCTTCATAGGTGATTATCATTACATTTTCTTCATCCATATGTTTGTCCCAAGCAAGAGCATGTTCAAAGTAGGATTTCCACGCAACTGAAATGAAATGAACACAATCTCTTATTTCACCAGCTAATTAAGTTCTCTACACGAGACAAGGAAAATGTAACAATCCCAATCATATCAACTGGATTGGAACCAGGTTTATCATGGTTATTTTAATCTGATGTCATTGAATCTATTGTAAGTACGAGATATCTGGGTAGGGTCCAATGTAATACTGGCTCCAGGCTGGGGAAACATTTTTATAATATGCAAATAAAATAAGCCAACTGGATTATGTGATGAAATTTAACTAAGTTTGTTCTCATTCCGTTAGTGATAAATTATTATAATCCGAATCATAGTTTGTTAGAACAAGTCTGATACTACTTGCAGTAATATCATTCTAGAAAGTCTTCCTTTATTGGATCAGTTTTGTGCTATGTGAGAATTCTTTTATTGCATCAAGGAGAGGGGAAAAAAGAATTTCTGATCCTCCAAAAAGTTCTGGAAAACTGTAATAATTTTGTAATGGTCAAGCATATCACATTTTTAGGTAAAAATTAATCTGAAGACTATGCTTAGTAATTCCCTTCATAAGTACGGTAGTTAGAAACATATGGGAAATATCTGTATTTTATTTTAAATTTAATATATTATTTCAATTTGTCTGCAATTCCATTTCTAGACTTGAGCTGCTGAAATAATAAATGTTGAAGTAATAAATAAAGTACACTCATTTTTAAGTTGGGGGCTTCTTTAACTGCTCTTATTCAGTATTGCCTTCTGATCACAGGAAGAATTAGAAGGGCATCCCAAAATTTGGAGTCACCTCTTTTGTTGTCACCATATTGTTGAAAAAAAATGAGGATGCACTATGTATCATAAGCTGTGCCAAGATGTCTTTTCTACAATATTATTTATATACAAATTATCCATTGCAAATATACTCATCCATAGTTTAATTTATGTAACAAGGATTGCTACAGCAAATAGCTTCTGATATAATATATGAATTAAACAAATTACCATTTTAAACTTGCTCATGCATGTAAGTTTTTACTACTGATATTAAAATGTATAGGAAGAACTAGTTTGAAATAAGAAATATGCTAAAAACATAAATAATGGACAGCTTTTTGAAGTTCAAGTTCCAATAAAATACTTCCTTTGTATGCCAGTACGCCAATTCCCTGCATTTATTTTTCTTCAGTATTTCTTCATACAATGAGTTAAAGAAAAAAAAATGTATGCTTCTATGCCAGCGGTCACCAACTGGTGGTTCATGAGAAAATTTTGGTGGTCCGCAAAAAAAATATTTGCATTTTTTTATATTGCACTAAATCAGGAGTCCTCTAACTACGGCCCCTGGGCTGGATACGTGTAATGAACATGTGTGTTGCTGCAGAGGGCCGCCCCCTTCAGGGTCTTTCTGTGTGGGTTGGAGAGGGGCAGAAATTCCAACCGGGTCTGCTTCAGCCTCCTGGTGCAAGGCTTTGGGTGAAGGCTAGAGGGAAGTGCCGCTGGTGGCATGGACCCGGAGGGCCTTGTTCCAGTGGGATTGCATCATGGCCTGGAACTGGCTGACCATCTCAGCCCGCTGAGCCTCCAGGCGCCGGCCGTTGGCCTTGCAGTTTATTTATTTATTTTTATTTTATATCCAATTTATATACCGCCCTTCTCCCTGAGGACTCAGGGCAGTGTACAGCCGAATAAAAACATAAATTACAAACATTAAAATAGTATTACAAGAATATATATAAATTTGGCCCCGTAATTTAAGAACAATAACAAACCCATTTAAAATATTTAAAAAATTAACTCCTGCAGATCTTCCCTCTGCTTGGAAAGCTTATGCTCGTAGTCCTGAGTGAGGTGCTTCTGCTGAGCCTCCTTCTCGGTCAGATCCAATTTGAACTGAGCGAGCTATTTTGCCAACTCTTTCTCATGGTGGCTGCTTAGCTCCAACAATTGCTTCCTGTTGGGGCCCTATGGAACCCGGGTGGGGAGGCGAGGAGTGGCTGGCAGGAGAGGGGTGAATAGAGGCCAGCGAGGCGCCCCTTAATGTGAGTGACATCGAGTTGGCCACTGAATTGGCCACGGCCACCCGGTCACATGACCACCTAGCCACACCCACCCAGCCAGTCATTAGGCAGATCATATTAGTGGTCTGTGGGATTTAAAATTATGAATTTAGTGGTCCCTGAGGTCCGAAAGTTGGGGACCCCTGTTCTATGCAATCACTTAGATAGGACCCAATTCCAATTTAATGGGAAACATTTTCAGGCTACCTTATATTTTAATCTTTGATTTTAATTTATTTATGTTTACATTTATGTTTAATGCCTTTTTTTTAAATGTAAGTCACCCAGAATTATCTTATGGTAAGATGTCAGCCAATAAATTTTATAAACAAACAAAGATAACATACCTTCACCACTCATAAACTTTTGAAAGAAGTCATCCCAGGAACTGGCATTAGGGAGCAAAGGATTTTTGTTGTAAAAATGATAATAGGATGTAGCTGCATCTTTAGGATTTCGAAATACCACCAGCATCTGTTTAAACAGATAGATGATCATTAAATATGACTTAAAATAATTATAAACAGCCAATAGATGTTTGCAGTGTTTATATAATGAAACTAAGACATAAATCAGGGTTGTGGTTTCTATGCCAAAATTTGCATTTGGCCTTTGAATGATGGCATACTGAGAATCACACCCTAAAAAGTTATATATGAGGTCAAGACAAAAACATTTTATTTGCTGTCAATTGTAAATTAGCTACATGTAAATGTAATCAAATGTTTTTGTCTTGGCATCAATTATTTTATTAAACTTCACAACTTTGTAGCAACATTTTAAGATCTCAGAGCAACAGGGCCTTGGGGCCTCAGGATAGGCAATTTGATATAAATGCAAATTCAGAGTGGGAGGTTATTATATCATTATATGCAAGATTTCCACTCCTTTACTCCCAGTAAGATTGGAAAGGTATTTCTATATTGCAAGAAAGACAGGTAGGTGGGCAGCATATTGAATGAATGAATGAATGAATGAATGAATGAATGAATGAATGAAGAGAGAGAGAGAGAGAGAGAGAACAATAATATAGGAGACATATGTTGAGTATATGTCTCAATAACATTCTTGGTTGGAGAGTTACTTGGATAAATATTCAGAATTTCAATTACTTTGGATAAATATTGAAGAAAAAGATATGATTATTATTATATACCATGGTTTAATTCATAGATCATAATAGAAACTTTGTTTGTAACTATGTTGAGGATATAAGGTAAAGGTAAAGGTTCCCCTTGCACAAATGTGCTAGTTGTTCCTGACTTTAGGGGGCGGTGCTCATCTCCGTTTCAAAGCCGAAGAGCCAGCACTGTCTGAAGACGTCTCCGTGGTCATGTGGCTAGCATGACTAAATGCCAAAGGTGCACGGAACGCTGTTACCTTCCCACCAAAGGTGGTCCCTATTTTTCTACTTGCATTTTTTATGTGCTTTCGAACTGTTAGGTTGGCAAAAGATGGGACAAGTAACAGGAGCTTACCCCGTTATGTGGCACTAGGAATTTGAACCACTGAACTGTCGACCTTTCGATCGACAAGCTCAGTGTCTTAGCCACTGAGCAACCACATCCCCTAAATTGAGGATATAAGGGGTCTAATTTTTTGTGACCTTCAGAAATATATAATATTCAGTATCTACATACTGAAATGCAACCAGGCAATTCTGTTGGACAATTGTATTTACAGTGAAACTGATTTCTTACCTTCACTTTGTTCTCCAGAAAGGATTTTGGAATGTTATCGTAGTGGAGATGAGTTATATAATAACGGGGAGATTGTTGTTCTTTCATTTTCTGAAATCAAACCAAAAGATGCTAAAATTCTGCTGATGAATTGTGGTCATAATCGAGGATTAGCTGTTCAGTTTGCTGCAAACCTATCTGCATTAGCAAGTCCACATTAGCCTCTTCATTATGTAGATGGTAATAATAATCATCCAGATCTCCTCTGTCTGTAACCCCAAGTCTGCCCCAAGACTGCCCTCTGCTCTGGAGAGGCAGCTCCACTTACATATTTCTTTTGCATACACAAAGCAATTCCACTAACAAACCAAAACATAAAACCAGACTGGAGATTAGGCTGGTTAGTTAGAAGTACATTCTCTCAAAACCCGTGGAATGGCTAAAAGTAAAATAACTTTGAAAGGCTTTTTTAAAAATTTGCATCTCAGTATCTGTTCTCAGTATCCTGCTCTAGAACAGGCTCATAAATCCAAAGTTTCAAACTCTATCAAAATAATGCAATAATATATAAGAGCTGTAAATACTATAGATTATAAAAGTAAAAATAAAACCATTTTCAAGTCTGACTTTACTTCCTGATGACTTACATGAATGCCTACATGCAGCTTTTTCTGGCCCATGACAATTTGGCATTATCTTATACCAGAATATTTTTTCAAATCCTCAGTGCAGCTTACAAACCAGAACTCCCAATCAGTTAAGCTCAGCTCTGGTGCTGCCATCCCGCTGAAGCAGAGTAAATTATCCAGTATATTTAACCACTTATATTATTCTAGGCAAAGACTGAATTCATACTGACCAGAAATTTTTCTGGGCCTCCAAATTCAAGCATTAAAAGGGGTCTTTGTAGTGGTAACTCCTTATTACTTGAAATTGCAACTACCATTTCCCTTAGAATTTGAAATACCCAGTTGGTACCTACAAGAGAAAACAGGTAAGCTACATTTAGATTACAGATTGCATTAACTTTATAACCACGAGCATGAACACAAATGTGTTTTCTTGAACCAAGGAAAATTTCAGCATGCCAAGCACCATTAGACCATGAATGGAAAAAAATCGAGAAAATGTAGACTTCAGCTTGTACGTTTTGTGATGTGTTGACACTGGTTGGATATAATACCAATCTATGATCGCTAGAAAGTGAATAAGTAGAAAGTGAATCTCAGGTTTGCTGTTTCACCTAATCTACAAAAACTACATTTTCTCTGCAAGATCCAGGTGACAAGCAGGCAGTGATCCTGATTTACACAGCCCATTCTATCTGGTTCAACCGGCAGCAGTACTAGAGACTGAGTCAGGTGCCCTCTTAGGGTTTGTAGGCATCTGTGCTCTTGTAATTGCTCTGTCCACATAGCCATTTTGCTGCTATTCTATCATCTCATCGCATCATTGAGAGTTGAGCAGCATACCAGTTTAATAAAATTATTATTATTATGGTTGTCTGCACTGTCAGCCAGATGTTTAGGCTGGATTTGGCATTTGTATTCACCTATTGCCTTGATGGTGAACCTATGGCATGTATGCAAGAGGTGGCACACAGAGCCCTCTCTGTGGGCATGCGCGCCGGCCAGCTGATCTTTGCACATGCTGGAGCCTCGGAAACCCAAAGACCAGCTGGCTGGCGCACATGCGCGTGCCGGAAACCAGAAGACCAGGCACAGCTGGTCTTTGAGTTTCTGGGGTTCCAGAGCATGCGTGTGCATGCACATTCTGGTTTGGGCACTCGTTGCCGAAAAGGCTCGCCATCACTGACCTATTGAATCCTTCCCAAGGTGACATCACCATCAGTATCTCCCGGTGCATTCAATATCTTCCTTACCTCTTTATGAAATGTCATCTTTACTCTTTTCTTCCTTCCCCTGTCTCTTTTCCATAGGTCCTTTAAGGTTCAGAGGTGGGAGAGCACCTCTGCTGATTCCTTTTTTAAGTATATGGTGCTGAATTTGGGAAAACCTTAAGTCACCAACTGGGATAAAATGTTCAAACAGCCTCAGTGCAAGATTGCAATAGAGTTGCAGATCATATTAAAAGATGTGTCAAAGGAGCAGGGGTGAAATGCTTCCAGTTCGGACCAGCTCGGGCGAGTAGGTAATGATGGCGGCGGGCAGTTCAGAGAACCAGTAGCAAAAATCCCTGCCCCCGCCCCCCGTGCCCAGCTGAGCCGCGCGATCATCAGAGCCTTTTTTTCCTTTTAAATGGCTCTGACGAGTTGCTAATCAGGCAACTCAGCTTGGATCGCCAGAGCCATGTAAAAAAAAAAGTTTCTTTTTTTCTCCCCCCCAACCCTCCCCAGCCTCCAGCTTGCTTACCTTAGCTGCTGATCGCAACGCTGTAATACCTGCAATCTATTGCATCAGCAAGCAACTGAATGTCCCTGCCTGCAATCAAGCTCATCGGTGAGCAGTTCTATCTGCAACTTTTAAGACTTGTGGACTTCAACTCCCAGGAAAGCTGGCTGAGGAATTCTGGGAGTTGAAGTCCACAAGCCTTAAAGTTGCCAAGGTTGGAGACCCCTGTTCTATTAGGTAAGTTTTTTTCCCCTTTAGGTGTTTTAAAAAAAATAGTTAATTGGGATTTTTTTTAGTTGTTCTTTTTTTAGTATTAGCCATTTAAAGTTTAGGAAGTTTTAAATTTAGCTGCTTTTATATAAAAATAAAATAAAATAAAATAATATTTGTGCAGCTTTCTGAGATTTAGTGTTTCTGTAGTGTTTCACTCTTAACTACACAAACACACAAAATCTCACAAAGCTGTATGTGGAATTTTGTGTGCATAAAGTGTGAAAGTTATTTTTTTGGGCTTTTTATGGCTGTGTGAGGTTCCTGCTTGTTGCGGGGCCATTTTGGGTCTAGCACAGCTGCTTTTACATTGTGGGTGAGCCAGTTGTGTTGTGTTGTGTTTTGTAGGTTAAAAAAGGGCAAAGAAGTGACATTGACTTGGCTACGCCCACCCAGTCACCTTATCACCAAGCCCCGCCCACTAATTAAGCCCCGCCCACAGAACCGGTAGCAAAAAAATTTAGATTTCACCCCTGCAAAGGAGGTTATCTATAATAGCCTCTCCACACTATTTCTTCCACTTCCCAATCCATCAGTAACAACAGCAGCCTGAAGACATTCCACAACCATCCTTAAAACTGCCAACTTTAAAATGCTGAGAACAAAAGCAAAGAACCATTGCTTTAACTTGAGCTGCCACAAGTCTGCAGTAATAAAAATCCTTTTCACTTCATCCAAAAGAAAAACTGAATTGTTTGCATACAGGCCATCAAAGTGCCATCTTTTCTCTTCAAAGTTGAGAAAGGCAAAAATTCCTATAAATGCCAAAGTATTTCCATGTATCACAAAGTACAATATGATTGAGTCTTAAAACAGCAATAAGCGATTACAAAACAATGTACATTCAAATCCATCAAATTTAAATCACATTCTGCAAGAAAGGTGGAAGAAAAGAAAACAATTCTTCACTTTAACATTTAAACCCTATTAAGAGAAGAACCTCCCAGTGTAAAGATCTGCTCCAAAGACATGTTCCATCATAGAAAATATTCTATCTGTACCTTTTGCCCTCCATAGCAGATGCAAAATTGGGGACAATTAGAGAAGGAACCTAACAGTAGTAGAGAAATTGCTGCATTCAAAAATCCCACAATTTTGGAAAAGAAGTTTAGGAATCTTTAGGAAGAGCATGAAGCCAGAGCGAGAACATATTAATTCAGTACTCCTCCATAGTGCTTGCAGAATGTTATCTAGTAACTGCATTTTGCCATCTTTGGAAGTTGTTTATCATTCACAGAGGCAGTTCTACTTTGTTGGACTGTGGCCAATGACCAAAGTCTGAATTACTGTGGCCAGGCTGTCCCTGTTTTGCACTATTCATAGTGACAGGAACAACTAAGAATACTTTGGCTTCCTAGAGTGCCAGTGGCAAGGAGCAATTAAGGAGTACGATCAGTATGAATTCCTGCCTTTTCAAGGCACATGCATCTCAACTCAACATAAGTCATTCATCCAGATCCAGGAGTTATGGCCTAACACGTACAAGCCTGTGTTATTTTTCCTTTATTTTCTACACTGTCTTCTTGCATATGACTCTTGGCTCCGGCCAACTTCATTACAATCTCAGCAGGCTCAGCCTTCCATCCTTTCGAGGTAGATAAAATGAGGACCCGAATTGTGGGGGCAATAAGCTGACTTTGTATAAAATAGAACACCGCTTAGGGGGGCCTGAAAGCCCTACTAAGCAGGTATATACAAAAGTATGAAGGCTATTGTTTAACACATTATAAGCCCTGAGTCTCCGGAGAAGGGCGGCATATAAATAAAACCAATAAATAAATAAATAAATAAATAAATAAATAAATAAATAAATAAATAAATAAATAAATAACCAACCAACCAACCAACCAACCAACCAACCAACCAACCAACAGAAAAATGTCCTTTCTTGATATAACAAGGCTAGGAATATTTGTTCAATTATTTCCTGTTAAATAATCTTTTTCTAAAAATTTAATTTTGCATTCAGTTAGGTGTAGTTAAAATGTCTAGCTTCAAACCAAAAATATTTTTAAAAGGGTTGGGGCAGTGGTGAAATCCTCCATGGTTTGTCACCAGTTCGCTGCCCACGCATGCGTGGTGTGTGCCAAACACACACACTGTGTGTGCGCTTGCACTGTCCACCAAATGCACTCTGCATGTGCATGCGCAGCGTCCACCAAACATCCGCTTCGCATGGAAAAAGGACACTTAAAAAGGTAAGTAGAACAGTGAGGGGGGGAACAGCTGTGCCACGCTATATAGATCAGATAGAAAACAAAATTTCCGGCTTTCTAACTAATATAAATCGTGCGGCACAGCTGAACATCGGAAATACCAGTTTGGACCAACCGGTAGCATTTTTTTATGACCAGTTCGCCGAACCAATAGATTTTATCACCACTGGTTCGCTCGAACCGGTGCAAACTGGTAGGATTTCATCACTGGGTTAGAGCCAGCCTGTCTGAAGCCATTCTTAAAAATATATATATAATAAAAATCTGTGTACACATAGTCCTAACTAACAATTACAACTGAGACCAGAATTTCTGTTGCCAAACAAGGTGATTGTTAACAGAATAACAGAGTTGGAAGGGACCTTGGAGGTCTTTTAGTCCAACCCCGTTAAGTGAGATATATGATTTTACAACCGTTTTTTGCCAGTTATTAAGTGAATTACACTAGTTAAAATATACTGCAGTGTATATAACATGGTTGATGAGGGAATCCAACTTCCCCCACTGACTTTGCATGTCACAAATTGCAATCACATGATCCCAGAATGCTGCAATTGTAATTACATGCATATTGCCAAGCATCAGAACTTTGATAATGTGACAGTGGGGATGCTGCAAAGGTCATACGTATGAGGACCAGTAGTAAGTCACTATTTTCTGTTCTGTTATAACTGTGAACAGTTAGTAATGAATGTTTGCAAATCAAGGACTGCCTCTATTCTTAGCCAAAAATATATATCAAATGATCAGCTAACAGGGTAAGACATCTCATCATAGGATCTAAATCTTTAAAATGCCTTCCTCAAGCCTAATTACATTACTTTTGAGGAATGCATACAAAAAATAAAAGTATTTTGTTTCTAACAGAATATAACAGGCAGTTTATGCAAATTATTGATGACTTCTAGGATCATAAAAAGCTGAGCAGTTTCATTTGGTGCCCAGCCATTGTCCAGCCTTCCCCAAACACATCCCTTCTAGATTGTTTTTGGGGTTGACAAATGCTATCCTCCCACCATATAGCTGAGAGTGATGACAACTGAAACTCAAGGTATTTTCAGGATGTCATTTTGTAATATATTGCAAATAAACTTGAGATAAACTTGTAAGAGCCTTGGTGGTGCAGCAGACTAAAGCACTGTTAAGTAACACCAGCTGCCTACAATTACTGCAAGTTCAAATCTCACCAGGCTCAAGGTTGACTCAGCCTTCCATCCTTTCAAGGTAGGTAAATGAGGACCCGGATTGTGGGGGCAATAAGCTGACTTTGTATAAAAAAGAACACCGCTTAGGGGGCCCCCGAAAGCCCTACTAAGCAGGTATATACAAAAGTATGAAGGCTATTGCTTAACGCATTGTAAGCCACCCTGAGTCTCCGGAAAAGGGCGGCATATAAATCAAACCAATAAATAAATAAATAATAAATTATCCCAGAGGCAGCAAAATGAAAAAGTGATGAAAAAGCCACAGTATAATGTTCCTCTTTCCTTTGCAAAAGAAAGAAAGAAAGAAAGAAAGAAAGAAAGAAAGAAAGAAAGAAATGGTTGGCAAAACAAAGGCAATTGCCTAGAGATGTGGTGATTTATTTTATAGACAAAGAAATTAGAAATAATATTGTGCAGAATTCTTATGATTCTACTTTGCAATTTCGTGGAAGAAAGATTTGGATTTTTAAGGAACTCCCGCCCAAGATGTTAATGGAGAGGAAGAAATTTGGTTTTCTAGTGAATGAGTTAAAAAAAAGGAATATTCTATTTAGGTGGGACGTCCCAGTTGGTTTAATATTGAGACACCAAGGAGTAAGATACCAACTGAATACTGTCGAAAAAGTGGAAGAATTTTATCAAAAAATTTTAAAAATAAATTTAACATCTTTAGGCATAACACAGGACAAGCAAAAGGAGTTGGAAATAAAGGGAAAACATCAAATTACAGAGGCTGTGGTAGATAAACTGTCTTCGGACTCCTTGGATACCCCAGCTGGACTGTCTATAAATTTGAGAGCAGTGTCATCTGATTCTAAGGTGATGAATTATCAAGTTACAGACAAGTGCGTAAATCAACCAGTTGATATACAAGTGATGGAAAAGACATATGAGATAATAAAACAAAACCAACAAGATCAATTTACAAAGCAGAATGACAACCGATCAGCTGATACACAACTTGTAGGAAGGAAATCTGGATGGAAATGCAACCCGAAAAAGAAAAAGAAAAGAAACAGATCTCGTAGAAATAGTAGTTTCTAAACCAAGCAACAGTGAAGCCAGGGATTTTAAAAAATAAATGAATATGTGAAAAGATATTGGAGGCGAATTATCGTTTAATACTATCTTGAGGAAAGTGGCAGATCTCTGCAATGCCGTGATTTTGGGATGTGGAAAGAGCCTTACATTGTTGGATTTGAACTATCTATTTTGGATTTCTTTTACCGATAAATATATTATAACTATTTTGAGTTATAAGGCAAGAGAGTCATGCTGGGGCATGCAGAAGATCTGGCTGTTACCCACTAAAATGATGGGAATTTATAATCCTGATGAAAACCACAATTACAACTATATGGAATATAATTATAATGTCACTCGGGTGGTTGTTTTTACTTTTATATATACATGAGGATATTCATTATTGATGGGGGCAGAAGATGACTGAAGATTTTGAATAAACTGTTGCACCAGGATGCTATGTTACCCTATTATGGATGATGGATTTAACAATCTAGTGGAAAGACATCAAAGAAGATACTAAATGAATTATAAATTTAAAGTTATTGTTTTCTCTTTTTATAAAATGGAATGTATATATAGACATATGTATATTTTAGCAGAGTGGGCAGTGGATTATATTTAGAATTATTTAGAATTGTAGTGTATGGTAATCTTGCAGGAAACTGGGTTGAAATAGGCTAGTTTAGTGATTGATTAGTTTAAGAAAAAGGATTTTTAAGTCATATATTTTGGGGAGTGGAAGAATTGGATAGAACTGAATAAATGTTAAATTTGGAGAAGGCTGCTTTGAAATGTTATATTAATATATATAAAAGATTAAAGGTTATGTTGTTGTAATAATAATAATATTTTATAAGTTTGGGGGAGGAGAAAAAGGGTAGATTATTGCGAAAAGCGGAGAAAAGCGGAGTTATAAGAATATTATGCTAAGGGTCAGTACTTTGAGGAGTGAGTAAGGGCATGGTAAAATATTATGTAATTAATTATGAATTAGCTTATTGTTGTGAAGAAGAAGTCACAGGGGGTGATGGGTGGTGAGGGGGGGTTAGGGAAGAAGGGGGAAAGGGGGGAAAACTTGTATTTGAAAACTTTTTCAATAATATTATATATATATATTATATATATATATATAATATATATATATAATAAAAATCTGTGTACACATAGTCCTAACTAACAATTACAACTGAGACCAGAATTTCTGTTGCCAAACAAGGTGATTGTTAACAGAATAACAGAGTTGGAAGGGACCTTGGAGGTCTTTTAGTCCAACCCCGTTAAGTGAGATATATGATTTTACAACCGTTTTTTGCCAGTTATTAAGTGAATTACACTAGTTAAAATATACTGCAGTGTATATAACATGGTTGATGAGGGAATCCAACTTCCCCCACTGACTTTGCATGTCACAAATTGCAATCACATGATCCCAGAATGCTGCAATTGTAATTACATGCATATTGCCAAGCATCAGAACTTTGATAATGTGACAGTGGGGATGCTGCAAAGGTCATACGTATGAGGACCAGTAGTAAGTCACTATTTTCTGTTCTGTTATAACTGTGAACAGTTAGTAATGAATGTTTGCAAATCAAGGACTGCCTCTATTCTTAGCCAAAAATATATATCAAATGATCAGCTAACAGGGTAAGACATCTCATCATAGGATCTAAATCTTTAAAATGCCTTCCTCAAGCCTAATTACATTACTTTTGAGGAATGCATACAAAAAATAAAAGTATTTTGTTTCTAACAGAATATAACAGGCAGTTTATGCAAATTATTGATGACTTCTAGGATCATAAAAAGCTGAGCAGTTTCATTTGGTGCCCAGCCATTGTCCAGCCTTCCCCAAACACATCCCTTCTAGATTGTTTTTGGGGTTGACAAATGCTATCCTCCCACCATATAGCTGAGAGTGATGACAACTGAAACTCAAGGTATTTTCAGGATGTCATTTTGTAATATATTGCAAATAAACTTGAGATAAACTTGTAAGAGCCTTGGTGGTGCAGCAGACTAAAGCACTGTTAAGTAACACCAGCTGCCTACAATTACTGCAAGTTCAAATCTCACCAGGCTCAAGGTTGACTCAGCCTTCCATCCTTTCAAGGTAGGTAAAATGAGGACCCGGATTGTGGGGGCAATAAGCTGACTTTGTATAAAAAAGAACACCGCTTAGGGGGCCCCCGAAAGCCCTACTAAGCAGGTATATACAAAAGTATGAAGGCTATTGCTTAACGCATTGTAAGCCACCCTGAGTCTCCGGAAAAGGGCGGCATATAAATCAAACCAATAAATAAATAAATAATAAATTATCCCAGAGGCAGCAAAATGAAAAAGTGATGAAAAAGCCACAGTATAATGTTCCTCTTTCCTTTGCAAAAAGAAAGAAAGAAAGAAAGAAAGAAAGAAAGAAAGAAAGAAAGAAAGAAAGAAAGAAAGAAAGGTACATACTCACCACATTTGGGATAAGCAATTATCAGCATATCATCCTTTCTTGCTTCAAAAGTTTCCAGTGCTTCAAAAGTTTCTGCACTACAAAGGCGGTTAGGATACAAAACTCCTTTGAAAGTAAAAAAAAGCTCTTTGTTCTTGTTTTCTTTATTCTCATCAAATATCTTATTCATTTGTTTCACAAAACTGTCATTTTCTTCAGCCATTGTTTTCTCTTGTTGGCAGCCTCAGCCTCTGCCTTGTCATGAACCCTTTCAAAAGGCAGCTCTAGTTTTATGCAGTCAGATTCTTAGAGGCCTCCTTTCTCTTGCTCAATAAAGAAAAAAGTGCTGAGGCAGAGTCATGAATCACTAGTCTTCGCACGCTACATCCTGGTGTGGGTTGATTACATAACAGCTTTGGGAGTACAAATTACTTAACCTGTGGTAGAAGAGCAGAACTTTCTTCCAAGAAGAAAACAAATCATTTTGTGCCAGAAGCCAAAACGAATGCAAAGTAAACAGCCTCAAACTGTATCGATTGGTTAAAATAAAAGGTTTCTTCTTTCATTAATGGGAGGACTATATGGAACATTTGTTTTATGTCAACTCAGTAACATGAATGTTAAAATTCCAGATCTGCTTTTGAAATTGAGTACATACCACAAAATGAAAAACACAGTGAGTTTAGACTGATGGGGGGGGGTGTATAGAGGAGTTTGTAGCACCAACCTCTACATGTTTATTTGATGGTAAACCAGTGTTCAGTGAACTTTGTGCCCCATAATTTAGCAGACCGGTATTTTCCTGAAAATATATGCATTTGGGTGGGGGGACCAAGCCTAATTATGTTGAGCTGAAGTCAAAGGTATACTGTAATATGAGGGTGAAGGTTCATTCTCCGAGCTTGTGGGTTGGTTTCCAAATGTTTCATCACCAGGCTAGGTAACATCTTCAAAGGAGTTTAGGGGAGTGAACTGAAAATGTTACTTAGCTTGGTGACAAAACATTCAGAAATCAACCCACAAGCTTGGAGAATGAACCTTCACTGGGGTGAAATCCAGCAGGTTCTGACAGGTTCTGGAGAACCGGTAGCGTAAATTTTGAGTAGTTTGGAGAGCCGGCATATACCACCTCTGGCTGGCCCCAGAGTGGGGTGGGAATGGAGATTTTGCAATATCCTTCTCCTGGAGTGGGGTGGGAATGAAGATTTTGCAGTATCCTTCCCCTGCCACGCCCAAGTCACACCCACCAAGCCACACCACACCCACCAAGCCACACCACGTCCACCAAGCCACGCCCACAGAACTGGTAGTAAAATTTTTTGGATTTCACCACTGACCTTCACCCTCATCCTACACCTGAGCTATGGATATTTGCCACTAGTACTGTAATATCTCTGAAATATATTTTAAAAAACCACCTTATTTAAAATTACAGCTACAGTATGAATGTCAATAATATCACCCAACCATATAATCTTTTTTTTTTAAAAAAAAACTATAAATATTGTCTCAGAATTTGTATCTGTGAATAAGAATTAGAGCTATAGTTGCATAGCCAGGTAGTCCGCGTCTTAAAGACTGGTCACTTAGCAACATTCAAAGTTACAGAGGATCTTCCCCAAATCTACTTAATGATCTGGTTCCAAAATTACAGCTGCTGCAACACTTCCATGGTTGTTTGTCCTTTCCAACTACAGGGATACTGTCAGACTCCCCCCCATCTCTATCCCATCGCCCCCACCAGATCCCCAACAGCCTCAAGCCTGCTTCCTACCTCACCAGGCCCGCACCCTCCTCCTCACATACCTTTCAAAGATTTCCAGAGCTCGGTTTAAGGAAGCAAAATGGATTACTTTGTGATGCAGCTGCGTGGTACAATTCTGGAAGCAGCCGCCATATTCTGAGCGGCTACTTTGAACTGTTGTCACTTGGAAAATGACGACTGCTTCTGGAATCACACTGCATGGCCAAGCAAATAAGCAATCCATTCTGTTTCCCTAATGTAGTCTCAGCAATGCTACGGAAAGTTCTGGAGATCAAAGTGTGTGATGGGTCATGTAGGGTGGGGAGGAAGCCCAATCTCTGTGGGGAACCAGTGGGGGAGAAAAAGGCCCTAAAACTGTGGAGACCCCTGAAGTGGAGCATGGGGTGTCTTAGGGGTGGGGGACAATTTAGAAGGCCTGGGGCAGGCAGGCCTGGGGCTGTGCTAGGTCTTCCAGGGCTTCCTGCACTCATGTAGCATCCTGTGCTCTGCTTAATGAGGCATGTAATTGTTCCATGACCACATCAGACACAGCAGGGAGTGGGATTCATTAAACTAGGCCCTCTCATTTAATGACTGTCACCACTTGCAACCATAATGGGCAGGCTCCTTTAAGGTTGTACTTTGAGGACTACTTGTAGAACATAATATATATATATATATATACCAGCTCAGTGGAATTTCTTTCCAGGCAATTTGTTTTTAAAAAGTGGTAGCAATATAAATCTAGAATAAAACTTATCTCCGACAACAGTTGCAAACTAATGTGAGTGCTTTGTCTTATAGTTGCTGATTTGGATTGTATTTCCCATTTTCTTTATATTGCATCATTCAGATTAACAGTAAATGTCGTAGAGATTCAATCTTAGTTCTGATGCAAATTGCACTCAGCCTAAGGCAGGTCAAAGAAACACTTTAATCACGGCCTAATATTCCTCAACCAGCTATTTAGAAATATGTAGTGACTGAAAAGTTACAGCATAATTACGCCATCATGAAATAATTTCTCCACTGTACAAACTGAAGTATATAAGAAATATTTGGAGTAACTATGTTATCAGTATTTTATCATTTTCTGTTACCTTCTTTTTATAGCTATGAAACAAATGAATTCTTTAAGCACCAGCCAGACAGCAAAACGAAACACTGTTGCTGCTGTTTTGACAGAGTCACTCATATACATTGATGCTGATGAAGGCCTCCGTCTCAATTGTATTGAAAAGGACCGAGTAAAATAATAGCTTGCATATGATTTTTAAGAAAATGAAAATAGTGGGATTACAAGAGTTTCATCTTTATCCCAATTCTAAGTGACTTTCTTCTGAATTACATAAACTTTACTGGCTTCGAGTAACTTTATTCCCAGGCAGGAACTGTAATAATCTTATATATAACCTGTTGCTTCTCAAAGAAGTTAAAATATACTGTATGTCACTCTTAGCAAGAGGGGAAGTCCCCTATATCCCTCCCCTCAATCTGTTCTAAAGGTCAGCAAAGCTTGTTTTAACTAGTAGTCTTTTATCATTAAATCACACTTGTATGTTCAGTTCTCTTTAGAACAGAAAAAACCTTTAATGAGGAAAATAAATTACTATAATGGGAATGGCAAAACAAGAGATTCAAGGTAACTTTGCCTTGATTCTGTTTGTTGTAAGGGGAGACAGAGGAAATGGAGAAAATTAGGGCATTAAGACAACTTGGCAGTAACATGTTTTTAACAGAAGTCAAAGCCTGACATTCAAGGTTTCTTAAAAGACCTTAGTATAAGATGAATTAATATGTTTTATATTAAATAGATGTTTGTATCAGTAGGTTCATTTCTTTCTAAATTCTGTATTCATTGGGAAGAAAATTCAAATAAACATCAAGATTACATTTACTTCATAAATTTGTTTAATAAAAGACATGCTTTGGCAAATCATGGCAGAATTGAAACCCAAGTAAATACAAGCAGCAATCTGTGTGTCTTGCCTTTAGAAATCATGCCAATTTTGAATATTGCCTCATAACATATCAATCTGATTTCTGAATTTGAAGTGAGGGAGAAACTATAAGATTGTGCTGTATCTATGATAGATTGTGGGAAAGCAGGTAATGAAGTTTTGAAGATTTATCTCAGTAGAGGCATCTCAATCCAATTACTAAGAGATATGAGAAAAACCATTTCAAAGAGATGTTTTGCCTCAATAGCTTTCTCTAAGGATGAACACTTCCTTTAAAATTTTTCAAGATCTCGTATTTTCCCCAGACTAACATTAAAATTACCTTCCTGAAATCCAATTGTTCTTGTTTCCTTGATCTTATCAGCCACATGGGAGTGACGGTAAAGTACCAGCAGGTTCATCTTTTCATTTCCCCTTTGAAGTCAATGGAAATACTACACTTTCCTTCAAATGATAAAGGAATTCAGACGTAATAGTATTTGTCTCATGTATATTTTATGTGCCTCTTGTTTCTCTTAGAAATTACTCCCAATAGTTTGATGCTTTTGGTCTGCCCCTCTTTCCCCATCCTAAAAAACCACTGAACTAAAACAGGGGATATCATATCCCAGTCCATCTCCAGCCAGGGAAACTCATGAAGTAATGTTGGACCAGTTGTTTCCCCCCCCCACACACACACACCAATCTTTCCCACATAGTTGTTGTGATAACATAAAAAGAGTCATCTCAAATTCCCAGAGGAAAAAAGGGATATAAATCATTATTCATCATCAAAAAATTCTGATATTATTGCAATATGGACTGCGGCTGACCACCTGAGAAATACATTGTAAGGCTCCACCCTATAAAATACATAACTAGTAATAAAACCAATTGAACTTGATGGGATTTACATTCAGTAACAATAACAGGATTATGCTGCAAAATTACAGAATTCTATTAAATTAATAAGACTCTTTTGGGTGTTAATTAGTCAGGGCAAAGAAATGCATTATTAAACTAGTAAAACATCTTAAAATTCCAGAAAAATTGTTTTAATTTTCAACTGTCATTCTCAAACCACCAAGGAGCTTTCAAATAATATAGAATTTATAGTAGATTATGGAAGTAACTTGGAGGAAGTTAGGCAATCTTTACATCAGTTTAGCTGATGAAAATCAGGAAATCAGGGAGTGAATAAGCAACTTCACTTTGCCCCACTTTGGCTCTCCAGTGTAAGAAGAGGGGAGAGAAAAACTTTGCCAGGCTTTCAAGAATCTTATTTTGAAATTATTATAACCATAAATTATGGTTATTTATCTAAAATTATAGAGTTTCACTCATTCTCACAGGGTCTATTCACCACAGGGTCTACCTTGAAAGGTTGACAAGATGAATGAACATCAGATTATAAAAAGATTCCTTAAAAAGACAATATTCCTCTAAAACTGCTAAGATTATCCATTTCATCCGTCTTATTTTTATGATAAATCCATTTTAGTATTTATTTACGTAACTTTTTTTGTCTTCTTTTAATATTTTGTCAGCACTCGAGTAGAAAGGTGGAAGATCAACAAAAAGCATGCACTTTTATTTTTATTTTAATTATCGTATAGGGCTACAGGCTTGTCCAATCCAAAGAAACTCTGAATGATGTACAATTCCCACTGAGATAAAAGCAAAAGACAATATACAGTCATGCAAACAAATCAATAAATTTGCCTATATAAAACCTAGGCATTAAAATATCATCAAAAAAACATAACAAATAACTTCCAATCGCTTGAGGGGAAAAACAATTATTCAGACCTCAGGGTCTGTTTAAATAATTAGGTTTTAATTGATGTCCTAAATGCTAAAAAGACGGGACCATTGAACATTTGGGTAATGGTATTCCAGAGAAGAGGGGCAGTGATAAAAAGGCATTTTTCACTGCCCCTTCTTAATCAAGGGGACATGAAGAAAGCTCATTTCCTTGATCTATGGGCAGCTATTCAGGGAAAGTGGTCCCAAAGATATCCAGACCCTGAAACATGAAGGGCTTTAAAAGGGACAAGCAGCATATTGAACTACACCCAGAAGCCAATGCAGGTCCTGTTTTAACACACACACCCTTTCTGTTCTTGCAGAGAAAGCAAGATTGAAGATAAGGTAACTTTACAACTCTGTGTACTTTTCCATTTCCATTGCACATTTATTACCACTTAACAGTGAATGAGCAAACAGATTGGTTTTGTTCCTGCTTATCTGCAGAAGACAACGTGCGGGTTTGACCTTAACAAACATTCCTTGGGCGGTGAATTTATATCCTGTCACACCATCAGAGCAGGTGAGAGTGTCTTGCATATTTCATTAATATAGAGAAATACCCATTTGCAATGGAGAGTCATTTTGGTATAGTGGTTAAGGCACCAGGCTAGTACCAGGAGACCATGAATTCTAGTTCTGCATTAGGCATGAAGCCAGCTCAGTGATCTTGGGCCGCTCATTCTCTCATCTTAGGAAGAAGACAAGAGCCAACTAGTTTGAGCATTTGGCAAGAGAAAATCTTGCCAAATACTCAACTAGTCTAGGCAGTCATCAGATTCAAAAGCGGGCTGATTCAAAAGCGGACACATACATACACACACACATGCACTTGTGATGAATGTTTTAACTGCATGACTCAGCTGCCTGATGCAGTGCTTTCCAATATTATTCATTTTACAAGCAAGATTTAAATGAAAATTGAAATTCAAGAGCATAAAATGCTCTTGACAAATTCTATCTATTCCATGGACAGGACAAGGTAGATTTGAGCACTATGGCTTCTACCATCTACAAGCCTTTCCACTAACAGGCAATACCCACCTCCTTCACATCATCAGGAACCCATTTTACATTTAACTGAAAAATAGTGCCTGACATTTTCTTGAATAGAAAAAAAACCCTCACAAATAAAATATGAAACACATGAACCTGACAATGCTTACTTGATGTAGCTTAGTTGTAGATGCTTTTATTCTAATAGTTCATAATCAATTGATAATTCTGTGACATAAATGGTAAATGACACAGAATATACTGTAATTCAGCCAGTGACCAAGGAGTAAGTGAACTGCAGTCTAAATATAATTCCATTAAATTCCAGCACTTGAAGTGCTGATTTAACTTCTGCTTGCAATCAAAGCTGCAAACCTTTTTGAGCAAATTGCAGAACTCAGTACAAAACTTTTATGGACTTTGGCCTTTTTCATACTACTCTTTGAGACTAAACAAACTGCATCTCTCTGTTAATGAATTGCATTTCTGTTAAATGATAAACGAATTGAATTTCTGTTCTAATGGGTAGATGGAGCTGCTTTACTACAATGGTGAAGAGGTGAAGTTTTCAAAGGTTAATTGAACGCATCTGTGAAAAAAAGCAGAATTCAAGAGCAGATGTGTCAAAGAGTAGAATTTAAAACAGAATGTCTTTTTCACCTTCCCAATACTGGTAAATTAGCACATTTTGCTTGATATTTTTTAATCTGTCCCAAAAAGGCAGAGTCAATAAGTTGGACCACTGAAGTTGGATAGCACCAAATTGTAGGCCTGTTGAGGCAGCTTGAATTTGACTCAGCAAGATGCTTTGCATTGTGAAAAGATGCAATTTGTTTCAGAAGGTATTTCAGGTTGCCTCAAATCCTTCAAAGATAGTTGACTTGGGCTTAAATAGGAGCCAGAAACACTGGACAGTAGAAGGCAATCCAAACAGGCAAAATGAAACAATATAATCACTTTTGGTGACTTGTAGAGGGTGCCATATTGCTTCACAAAGCAGTTCTGTATGAGGTGTTGATCAATGTGAAGTCACAAAGAATTCATAATTATGGGAGGGAAGATCACCCAAGGAAAAAAGTATAATAAACAGAAACAACAAAAAAGGTTTATCTCAAACAGTGTTTAATCAAACCAGATTAAGTATTACAATCGTAATGTACATTTCTATAAAAAAAATAAAATATAGAATAGATGAGTTCTTCAGGTCAAATGGAGGTTGCAGGTAATTTTATTTTTGTAATGAGTGTCCAGGAACATTAGTAGATCCTATAAAAGGGAAATTAAAACCAGAATCTTTATCTCTCAAATGAAATATTGAATTGTTAATTGTAATCAAACTGCCTTAATACAGTAATGACAAAAACCAAATAAAAATGGCAGGCATTTAACTACAAATGCTTAAAGAACCACATTTATCATAAAACCATTTAATTTATAAAGCATATGTAAAGTATTATAGCAGGAGCATAGTTTAGCTATCATAAAATATCTGTTTCTATTTATCAGTCAGGTACAAAATAATTTGTGTATTTCTGTGAACCAGACTCTATGACAATCATATAGTTCTAAGATCTTACATGATGTAATTATTTCCGTTTATATGAATAATTGATTTATAGAACAATCATAACTGTTGAATGAAGGTAAATATATGTGTCACAGGATAATGTTGCAGGATCCAATCTAGTCGGTCACTGGGACCAGAGGTTTGTTTTTCCAAGCTTTCAGACTGGTGGTGCTGGTGCCCATCCTCAGGGAATTTCTCAATCTCCAGGAACAAACCTCTGGTCTTGTGACCAACTAGATTGGATCCTGCAACATTATCCTGTGGCCCATATATTTACCTTCATTCAACAGTTATGATTGTTCTATAAATCAATTATTCATATAAACAACTCAGATTGGATCCTGCAACCATAGCTGTAAATCTTTACTATATGGCAGCTTTGATTTTTTTTTTAACTTGGATACATAACAATAAATATTACTTAGCATCTTGGCTGATAAAGCAAAGCCATGTCTGCCTAAATACAAGATAGGTTAGCTGCAGAAGCAGTAGATGATTCAAGTAGATGATTCAAGTTTGCATCTACAGAAGGAAGACAAACAAACATTGTTGGCAGAATGGGTATCCCCTATGTCCTCTCCTCCCAATCTGTTCCAAAAAGTTAGAACACCTTTCAAAGTAGATTTGGAGGAAGTGTAATGGTTGCCGAATGGGGATGAAAAGAGGAAAACAATATCTCACTTGACAAACAAGGGCCATACATATAATATGATGCTGCTGAAGCCCAGAGAAATATCCAGTATGTTTAAACAAAGACATAATCATTTGTCAATATCAGAGATTATTACCACTGTCCCAAAGATTAAATTTTATACAAAACGACGAGTTAATGTCGCTAGGATTATTTCTACTTCTTTATAGAATTCACTTACCTAAATGCTGCCTCTGTAAAAGGTTAACAAGAGTGATTGGGTGTTTGATCCCAGACGAGAGCAAAGATGCACTGGTGGACTGATAATGCTGAGTAGATTTCTGTCCAAAAGTACTTGGGATATGATTTCTACAGTTTTGTGATGATGCAAATGGCGATATGTATGAATTTCCACCGTTGAGCATTTTTAATGGAGATGATCTAGTAATAAAATTACCAAGAACACTGCATAACAGTGAAAGCAGAATATACATTTTGACTAAAATAGCGGTGGACTTGTTCCATTATTTCAAACTGAATAACTGAAAAATGTCATTATTCAGTGGGAACAGTCCTGTTAGAGGATATAGTGATTCTAAAACATTGTTTCTTCTAAGCAGCAGACTTACTGCTATAAATTCAAATAAGACAAAAGAAAGATGCTAATAGTTGAAGGAAAGATTCTATTTAATTCAGTAACTGTATTTAATTCAGTAATTATAAAAGAAAAATACAGGTAGAACTTGTTTTCATAAAACTCATTGCCTAAAATTTCACAGTATACTAGTTGTGTCAAAAAATCTTAATAAACCAAAGCCAATTAAACCATCTGCTCTGGGCAGCAGAAATAAGCATTAAACACAAAAATGAGAAAAAACACCCTTTTTTGAATCCCACTGCAAAATTTATTTTACCTTATAGATCCTGCTGGGTTTCTCTGAAATGATGTCATTCCAGATAATTGAGAACTTCTGCATGTAACACTACCTATAAATAATATTCCAGATTAAATTACGTTATACTTTATATAATCCATTATTTGAAAATACATTTCCAGAAATACATTGCACACTTCACAAATTATTTGGAATAAGGGCTTCAGATCTTATTTAGCACAGACCTTCCCATAATCATTAAAAGTTCCCATTCTTTTTTGGGCTTCTATGTTTTATGGGCTCCAATAAGGACTTTTCAATACCAAGATGCATGTATTCATTTAATAGATTTATACTGCCGGCCAACTCAAATAGTGTGATTTTAGGCAGCATACAATAGACAAACAAATAATAAATCAAAACTCCTTCTCATAACATTAAAACTTACCCAATATATAAAATATAAAATGGTGACCAAACACAATAATGAAAATACATTATTATACATATACATAATACGTAGTCCTGGGCTTATGACAGCAATTGGAATTGGAATGGCAATGTGACATGGCTATAAAGTGCAACATCAAAAATCATGTTGCTTAGCATCAGCAGTTCCGGTAGTCCCAAATGCCATTGTTTAAATGAGGACTACACAGATCATTAAGTAAGGACCTCACATGACCACAATTTCCAACTTCCTGCTAGCTTCGCTATTGACTTAGCTTGTGGGAACCAGGAAGAGAATATCAGAAACTGTAATATGCAAATTGCAAATGCAGAAAACAACTTATATCTGCTCTTTAACTTCTCTATCACAATTAAGGTTCTTTTTTAGTGCCAGATTCAATAACCTGGCCCTGGGACTCCTATATGGGAACTCCTAGGGCTATTAAGATTTAGGTTTATATAGTCAAATTATTTTACTGTAACTTGAATATTTGCTTCCCCCTTTAGACTGGGACACAAATTTTATCCAACAATTTGGATAAATAATAATAGTGTGCCATTATATCACTTATATCATTCTATTTAATCACTGTTATATAACTTTTTATTCTATTTTCATTCTATTTACCATATTTGTACACTTGATCATAGCTGTACTTTTTCTTTTTTTTTAACCCCGATCATTAAACAAAATTAGAAATATCCATCCATCCTTCACCAAATTACATGGAGCAGACAGAATATGCAACATATAGAAAAAAACAATTGTTATGAAATGCTAAACCCAAACATAGCAACAAATAAACAATATTTACTCTTACCCATATGTCCATTCTGCGGTGGACTTATCAGTGATATTCTTGTTGGACCAGCTACTGTTTCAGTCTATGTATAATTCAGAAATATTTACAATATAATAAACTAAAAATATAGAGTAATAATAAGTAATTATTTCATTTTATTAAGTATTTCTTGCTTTCTTGCTACTGAACTTAGGACTTTTAAATTTGTCAGAAATGTACTGCTTTTTTAAGAATTATTACTAGGTTGTATTACTTAAAAGAAATTTTAGTACAGCCTATGATAAATCACAAGAACAGAGCTGGATTTTTAATGGGCTCAACAATAAATTATTTCCTCCCTCTGCTATAAATATCTTCTAACAAGAATCTGTAACAGTCAAAGTCTAAACATTTGGTATTCTGCTTATGTTTCCTAGTTGGTGGACTACAGGCAACAAAATATAGGCTTGCAAGGTACTTTCCCTATATTGCTAAAGCATAAAACTGTATGTGAAAACTTCAGTTGACTAAAGCCTTGATAGGTAGAATAATTAATATCACTGGACCCATCTGATGATGTCCTTGACATATGGAAGATTACAACTTAGAAAGTAAGAGGAGCAAGGGGGAGAAGCCAATGCATGTGTGCTTTTGTATACAAGTAGTCCTTGACCTACGACCACAATCAACCCCAAATTTTTTGTTGCTAAGTGAGAGAGTTGTTAAGTGAGTTGTCTCATTTTACGACCTCTCTTGCCACAGCTGTTAAATGAATCTTAACGGTTGTTAAGTGAATCTGGCTTCCCCATTGACTTTGCTTGTCAGAAGGTCACAAAAAGGGATCACATGACTGTCATAAATATGACTCAGTTGCCAAGTGTCTGAATTTTGATCATGTGAACATGGTGATGCCGCAATGGTGGTGAGAGTGAAAAACGGTCATAGGTCACTTTTTTCATTGCTTTTATAACTTTGAATGGTCACTAAATGAACTGTTGTAAGACGAGGACTACCTGTACAGACAATGAGGGGAAGACAGAAAAAATCATGATCGGATGGAGTAGATGAGAGCCTAAAAAATTTAATAGCCTCATCTGAACTATTTTGGATGCAATAAACATGCCCATTATTCCAGAGAGATACCCAAGCAAAAGCTGGATTCTTTGCATCCAGTCTGCTAAATAAGGGTCAGTTAAATAAACGTTAATTACATTTTTTCTCCTTCTTATCTCAAGCCTCTGTTTCTTTTGCTTACCCTTACGTTTCTGTATTTTGCACAGTACCGTTTACCCCCAAACAAGGTAGCATGATATATATATATAGTATATTCATGTCAAAGTCTATCAGCTGAAACTTTTCCAGTTTGCAGACAAAAGCAGGAAACCATTACTTGCAAGTTTCTTTCCATGAAATCATTTCACGTAGCATAGGCAATTTTTAAAAACTAAATATAAGTGAACAGATCAGAATGAACCATACACTCATTTCAATTGCAGCACTCTGTTACCAAATACTAGTTTTCTAGGTAAATTCAGGCAATGGATTATAGAAAAAAAGAAAATGCAATAGCTGTCAATTTTATAGTCACATCTTATACTTCATATGTAATTTGAGCATCATTGCTTTTCAAACAATTAGTGATCACCTCGGCGTGTATGCCTTTAAGAAGTAAAAATAGGAAGTATCCTAAATAACAGATAACCTTTTCCACAAAGCTGATCTAGCATTTAACAGTAGAATGATAACTGGAACTATTTGTATCTTGGTATATAAAGAAGGAAGAAAAAACTTACTTTCCTTACTGAAGGTGGCACTTCTACCTCCTTTGATGAATTCCGACTGATAAAAGATGTTGAATATTTAAATAATTGAATAAAGTAAAAAAATATTAAGCTTGGGTCAAATATTTAAGGTTTTTTTTTTTAAGTTTATATGTTATAAACATTATATACACAAACACATACATACCAATTTTAAATTTCAAATAATGGAATAATTGAAGCATAATATAAGGCAATATGCTATTTTCCTTAATCACGATGGGTTTCAGCATTGTTAAACTCATTTAGGATGAACTAGGTAATTATTTATTTCTTTGTCACCAATAATATAGTTTTTCTTAAGGCAGCTTGAAGTATTAAAACATATAAAGGCAGACAATTTATAAAAATATAATTAAGTTTAAATGGTACTGCGTCCTTTAGATATATATGACACAATACCAAATACAACACCTGAAAAGTATATTCCACTGAGTTTAGGGGAATCTATTCTAATGTCCACATGTATGTTTTCAAGTAAAAGTTCATGGGAAGTAAATTATTCTAATGGATTATACTTATTTGAAAATACAAAATATCTTTGAAATTATTCAAAATTCAATGATGTTAATAATTAAAATACTCACTGTTGCAATTGTTGTATATGCTGAATTTGTTGTGATGCTCTCTTAAGATATGCTTCTAGTTTTGCAATCTGAATGGAATAATCTATTTCAGTAATTTAAATTCTGTATTATTTCTTGTCATTCATTTCTTGTCGTTTAATGGTCAACAGTTGTTTAATGGAAATATTCCAGACTAAGAGATCAATACTCAGTCAAAATATTTTAACTGCTAGATGCGGTACCAAAAAGCTTAGTACAGTACATTATTTGATCCAATACATTTTATTTATACATATCACATCAGGAATGTACTCTAGAAAGAGTGCAGAGAAGAGCAACAAAGATGATTAGGGGACTGGAGGCTAAAACATATGAAGAATGGTTGCAGGAATTGGGTATGTCTAGTTTAATGAAAAGAAGGACTAGGCGAGACATGATAGCAGTGTTCCAATATCTCAGGGGCTGCCACAGAGAAGAGGGAGTCAAGCTATTCTCCAAAGCACCTGAGGGTAGGACAAGAAGCAATAGGTGGAAACTAATCAAGGAGAGAAGCAATTTAGAATTAAGGAGAAATTTCCTGACAGTTAGAACAATTAATCAGTGGAACAACTTGCCTGCAGAAGTTGTGAATGTTCCAACACTGGAAATTTTTAAGATGTTGGATAACCATTTGTCTGAAGTGTGTAGGGATCCCTGCCTAGGCAGGGGGTTGGACTAGAAGACCTCCAAGGTCCCTTCCAACTCTGTTTTTCTATTCTATTCTAATGTGACGTTATCAAGATTCAGTATACTAAAGTATTCAATTCAACATGAATCCAAAGTACCTTTTCTCTGTAATGTGCTAATAGACGTCTTCTGTGTTTTTCCTGAAACTGGGCAATCTAACAATTAAGAAAGCACAGGAACAATTATTGGTATTGTTAAACAGTGTTATAATATTTATACGAAAGCAATACAAATCTAACAGAAATTAAATACCTAAGTCTATATTTAACTCCTAAGCACCATATTGATGTGGGGAGTGCAGCAAACATTAAAGATTCTTTTTTCTTCAAACTTTCAGAAATGTTTCATCCTAAACTGCATACCGTATGCAAACATAATACTGTACTTTACCAACATGAATGTAATGAACTGATCATCTGAAGATAAAATGGATACTCAAAAGTACACATTATGCTAAGATATTATGTTATTGCATAAACCATAATATTTCTAATTCATATATGCTAAGCCATAATATACTGAACAAGTTACATGTTAAACTAAAACATGTAAAAGAGCCTTGGTAGTACAGTGGTCTAAGGCACCCTGTTATTAAGCTGGTTATTAAGACCAGCTGCCTGCAATTACTGCAGGTTCGAATCTCGCCAAGGCTCAAGGTTGACTCAGCCTTCCATCCTTTCTAAGGTAGGTAAATTGAGGACCCAGTTGTGGGGGCAATAAGCTGACTTTGTATAAATATACAAAAGGATGAAGGCTATTGCTGAGCACATTGTAAGCTGCCCTGAGTCTCCGGAGAAGGGTGGCATATAAATCAAATAAAAAAAACAAAACTACATTGGCTTAGTATAAAATGTGAGTTTAACCAGAGTGCAAACATTCCTAAAAACATGAAATGCCATAAAAGTTTGGTGTGAGTTCTTTATTTCCCATGAAAAAAGAAAAAACCCTCAAGGCTCCTTAAGTAATTTCTGAAGGAATGTGGCTCTGCACTGTTTCTTCCCTCCACTCCCTTTGATGGGAACTTCTTAATCTGTAGACACATTTCAGCATGAATAATAAATAATGAATCCTGTTTTTTTTTATTACTACAATATAATCCCTATATGCCAAATGATGTTGATTTAGCAAGGGATTTATTATCTTATTTTTTAAAAAAACTATTTCTTCTTTTTAAGGCCACAGCGCTTAAATTTAAATTTCCCACAGCAAGCATGGGAAATAATGTTCAGCTAATTTTCCTTACCACTGGGCACAGCTAGACCATATTTCAGCTTGGATCACCTAATTCCCTGATTTTCTCAAAACCTTTACTTGTGGCATTATCCAATTTTTGCTGAAGGAATTTTGACTGCTAAGAGTGACTGCAGCCAGGAAATTCTTACTACGTATAATTTCATACTTTGTGAGATATTGTGTATTTAATAGTACAATTTTATAGTTTTATTTCATTTAAACATTACACAGGATGGATAAAACATGCCTAGATTTCCATTTATGTACTCTTTCAATACTACATGTCAAAATTATATTTTATCTTCTATTAGTGTTACATGAAAGGTAACACTAATCATAACTATTTGATTTTATTACAAACCAATACTAAATCCAATTTCTTGCTGGGAGTCAGTTTGGTGATGAAGATAGCAGATATAGCACCATGGTACTGAAACCATGAGAACTCATAGTGAACTCATAGAGAATCACAGAATATTTTAATTTTTTTAGGGAAACCTGTCACACATTTTTTTAAAAATTTTTTTTGATTTATATGCCGCCCTTCTCCGAAGACTCAGGGCGGCTTACAATGTGCTCAGCAATAGCCTTCATCCTTTTGTATATTTATACAAAGTCAGCTTATTGCCCCCACAAACTGGGTCCTCATTTCACCTACCTTAGAAAGGATGGAAGGCTGAGTCAACCTTGAGCCTTGGCGAGATTCGAACCCTGCAGTAATTGCAGGCAGCTGGTCTTAATAACCAGTTTAATAACAGGGTGCCTTAAACCCTGTACTACCAAGGCTCTTTATGAATTAAACTCTGTGAGTTCATTGTGGTATCCCAGCTTGGGAACCACAAGGTATTGTGGAAAAAGTTATTGAGAAATTAAGGACACCATGAACTAGTAAAGTTTGGGAATTTCTGTTCTAGCATATAGTATTCATAGTGAAAAATATTCAAAATAATTCACAGATCACTCACTTGTGTGATTTCTTTGGAATATTTTCTGCATAACCCATCTAATCCCATAAAGAGTGACTGGATATCTGAATTCACCTGTACCAAATAAATAAATACATACAACTTAAGTATTTAAATGTTAAAAAATAAGCAACTCTGCTCAGTAATACAAGTACTGATTTCTTTAGAGATATATTTATGAAGCTACTGAAAGGTTATTTATAGGTCTAGTATGCAGCATCACACGAAAAGAAAACATTCCAAGTGCTATCATAGCATCACACTATGTTAGGGTTAGGGTCAGGGTGCCAAAGGAGACTACCAAAAGTATCACTATAAACGAAACTATATTCCACCAGCGTATATTTACATACTTGGCTACAGCTCCATGATCATAAGAATACACTTATTTAAAATGCTGTACCACTGGCATCAATATTTAATCTGTTTTCCTTCTAGGAACTCAAAGTCATGTGCATAGCATTCCTTCTCCAAATCATGAAGATCAAAACTATAAATGTAATGAAATGTAAATGTTGTTATATTACATTACATTGTTATAATAGAAACCTGCAAGTCTGATGGTATTTTTCTTCCCTTCCCTCTTGTAGCCCAATTGGTCAGGGAGGAGTCAACCTGATTCTCTTCTTAATACTTCTTCCCAGAATTTAAGGAATGCTTCTGTCCTTTTTGTTTACATAAAGATTTCTGGATACTTGCTTCAAGGCTACCTCCCTGGCTGTCTACCCCATGAAAAGTAGTTTGGCCTGAGGGAGAGTGACAGGATCCAAATCATTCAATAAGCTTCTATAATTGAAAGTGGTCTTGAACTTGGGTTTCCCTATCCTAGTACAACACTTTAATCATTATTGCATATTACATTGTATGTATTTCTGTAATGTCTGTGAAAATATATATTTTACTTTATACATTATAATACTTAATGATTTTGCAATTACTGAATGAAATGTAGCTATTTGTAACTTTTTCTATACCTTTTTTGAAAGGACTATTGTACGACACGGAACTCTGCAAATCATACATTCATCTTTTTTACCTATAAAATCAACATAAATGCATACTGTACTATATATTATTTTACTGACAAATAAATTGTAAGATCTAATAAATAGCATTTTATATTGTGTCATTCATAATTATGACAGCATATCCATTGTTTTTTTAAATATAATTGCAATACAGATGTTTACACAGGGCCTTAATACTTGTAGAAAAATTTATTAAACAAAGTATTTGGATTTGCCCAGAAATGGGACTCTCCCAGTAATGCAAGGACTATTTCAACTATCTTATTAGGTGTGTACCTCAAGGTTGAACTGTAGACTTCTTGGTGCTTTCTGATCTAGTTTTTTTGTTTGCAGATTTTTGATTACCCAACTAGGAAACATCAATGTGAATTGCATTGATGATGCTATCTAGTTGGGTAATGAAACATTACCCAACTAGATGAAACATCAGACAGCAATTAAGAACTCCATGTTTCAATTAGATAGCTTTTCTAAAATAATTTTCACCCATTGTTTCTACCCATCCAGTAAAAATAAAGATCTCATCTTTAAACCAGTGTCATCTGATGAGACCCAGGTACTCTGTCACAATAGATCCAGTACATTATGCAACAACTTAGCCTTGGCAATCTGAGTTGCTCTAGTCCTGCTGATCTTCAAGTCTGTGAAAACCTAGTTCATTCCCCAGGTATTGGGTTAGAAAACACATTTGTGAATATTTTATTAATATGTTGGATGATTTAAAAAGAAACATGACCAAATGTGAAGCTGTTGGCTTTTATTTATGGGACTTTATACTACTTCACTCACAATGAATTCTTAAGGTTATAGTTGAAAAATACCCAAGGTAAAAATCAGTAATATAAAAACAATGTAAGTCATTTCATTATATTATTATTACAGTAATAAGACAATGTTAGCCTCATTCACTGTTCATTCACAGCACTCTTATCACTTCTTAATGGTATAGCTTTGGACAGACCTTAAGAAAAACACTGGGTTAGCAAGATTCTGGAATATTGAAAGAGCAAAGGTCATTGTTGCCATCCAGGACAAATGGTTCTATAGAGGGAATACTCCATGAAATGCCCCTTTTTGTCACTTTTCTGTATGTGGGGAGCCTCAGCAGTCACCTTATCTGCACCAAATGGACCAATCTCCTTGGAATGGGCAGTCTTGAAAATATCTGGATCTCAACCCACTTTTATATTTATATATAAAAACATTTGAGTTTATTCTGTACATTATTATTCTTGGTGCCAACTATTAACAGGTAAGGTAGTAGTTGCAGCATTATCAGAGAATTTTAAATTAAAATGTGAACCTGGTATCTGGAGAAAACATTTTTTAAGAGAAAAAAGACAGGAAGTTCCCTTTCATTGCAGTAAACCTGGAGTAAAGATTTATTTCCCAAGGTAAATAGATGGCCACTTCTCACTAGCAGCATCACTTTTAGGGTGATGAAAAAGACAATATTCTAAACAATAAATACCAAAATAGGAAATCTGGAACCCCTTCCACTAGCAGATGAGCAAAAGCATGAAAGTGATGTGGAACTTGGCAGCAGTGTTTTTTCCAAGTCTCTATGTGCCTCAGAATTTCTGGTCTGCAGGGATTTTGCTTAGGCTGAAATTGGGTTTTTTAGTCCTTTTTTGCCTCATTGTATCAATATTCTTTATTCAAACATAAGAAGTCTATGATTTGGATGAGGGGATTCAACTTTCATTCCCAATCTTAAAATTTCATGACTATGTCCTTTGGTGACTTACACTATTGAGAAGATCTGAATAAGGGCAAGAGAACGTCCTAAGTGCTAACTAATCTTCTGTCTTTTATAAATCACTATTCTTGGTTTCGAACTATTGATTACTAGGAATCAATATCCTTGATAGAGCCTTGATAGTACAATGGTTTAGTGCACCCTGTCATTAACACAGCTGCCTGCAATTTCTGCTGGTTCGAATCTCACCAGGCTCAAGGTTGACTCAGCCTTCCATCCTTTCTAAGGTAGGTGAAATGAGGACCCAGTTTGTGGGGGCAATAAGCTGACTTTGTATAAAATATACAAAAGAATGAAGGCTATTGCTTAACGCATTGTAAGCCGCCCTGAGTCTCCGGAGAAGGGCGGCATATAAATCAAATTTAAAAAAAAATAAATATCAACACTAGATGTAATCTAACTTTTCTTTTTCAAAATTAATATGCACCTAACCTTAGATATCCTAATATGTATGCGTTTAAAACATTTATGAAGCTGCCCATCTTATACCCATCTCTGATGGCTCCCCATCAAAAATTTTTAAAAAATATCATTAACAAAATAAAAAAATCATATTAAAGCTATAAATATGTTTGAATAGTAATTTGAAGATCGCCACCCGTGTTATTGCCAGAAATGCCCTCAAGACAACTTAATGACTTGTGATAAGTCAGTGTAGCTTAATCAAGCAGTTTAATAAACGGCAGTTAACCAGGTTCAACCCAAGCAATCATATCATGGCTTAACGCCTTAACCCAATGTGTGAACCCAGCCAATGGGAAGAGCAGACTCCAGTGAATATCACTTGGCTATCAACAGGCTACCAGGTCCTGCCACCCCTGGGGCAGGTTACCTTTCTGGAGACACTGCCCACAGATAACATGGCCACAGTTGGTCAGGCTGAAATTTAGAGCGGCTCCTTGGGGCTTCTGGAAACATACATTGCAGTGTATCAGACAAGCCATTATCAGACCAAGATATATATATATATATATATATATTATATATATTTCTCTTCTTCTCTTGCTACAATCAGGCACCTGGGGCCCAGGAATATACTTATGCTGCCGCCCCTTTGGACTCAAGTGGCCACCAGCCACTGATCCGCAGCGCAAAAGACAGCGCACTCGCCCTGCGAACGAAAGAAACAGTGAACTTGAGGGAGGCTGAGGCCGCGTTCGTCAGTGCCGCGCATGCGCTCTTCTCCTCCACCTAGCCGGGTGGGGGGGTGGAATCTGGGCAGGGAGAATGCCGATTCGAATTCACGTTCTGTTTAGCCTCTTCCCCCCACCCCTCCCGGTCTCTAGCGAGAAAAGTACGTACGGTACGTAAAAAGCGGAGCGTGCCAATCTCTTTGGCTGATCTTTTTAGTTCCGGGATGAGGATTTGACAACGTTGAACACAGTATAGAGTGGCAGCTGTCCGTAGAAACGAATGGAAAAGGTGTAAGGCTTTGGTTGTTTTAACGAAACGGCGATAAATGCGGCATAGACGAGCTCGGTGATTCCGCAGACTTTAATTTATTTACTTATTTAATTTAATTAATTTATTTATTTTCTAGGCAGTAGAAAGTCCGAAGGACGTGGCTGGCCGATGTTTTCTGGTGAGATATTTTTTTCCAGCTTCCCATTTGAATCATGAATCCCGGTGGCCTTCCATCCACGTATTAACCAGGACGGACCCTGCTTAATTCTTCAATGGCAATTAATAGGAGGTTCATATCGGCAAAGAACACTCTGTTGGGCCCCTTTGTCTTGCGTTAGCAAACTACTGAAAACTCCAAGCATCGACATGTTCATATGAACATCCTTATGTTCATAAGGAGCCTGGTGGTGCAATGGACTGAACTACTGTTAAAGGTAGTATTTAGCTGCCAGCTGCCTGCAATTACTGCAAGTTCAAATCTCACCAGGCTCAAGGTTGACTCAGCCTTCCATCCTTCCGCGGTAGGTAAAAATGAGGACCCGGTTTGTGGGGGCAATAAGCTGACTTTGTATAAAATAGAACACCACTTGGGGGGGGGGCAAAAGCCCTACTAAGCAGGTATATACAAAAGTATGAAGGCTATTGCTTAAAAGCATTGTAAGCCTACCTGAGTCTCCGGAGAAGGGCGGCATATAAATCAAACTAATAAATAAATAAATAATGAAACCAGAACTCAAAAAGGAGCAAGTCCTGAATATGTGAATGATGAATAAGGTGTGGGAGAGAGGACCAGAAAGCGATGTGTCAAAGGCAAAAACTAAATACGAGCTTTCTCTATTGGTTTTCACAGGTGTCCCCAAATCGGGGGGGGGGGAAAGCAACCTGACATACATTTGCACGAATGAGTGTGCAAATCTAATGCGCACGAACGGCGGAACACGCCACGGCGACAGCCACTAAGGTCCAGTTGAATTCGGATGTCTACGCCAACCAAGCGAGCAAATGAGCCAATCAGCTTCGGAGTTTACAGATCGGGATCTGGCGGGCACCGGACAAAGCTGCCACTATGGGCTGCACGGGATCAAAGCCCTTTTCTTTGACTTGGACAACACCTTGATCGACACCGCCTCTGCAAGCAGGAGAGCCATTGCAGAGGTACTTGCCATTCGCACGTCTTCCTTCCTCACTTAAACAAGAAAGGGAAGCACATAAGTAGAGGTTGGAAGAGGCTGATTAGCAGACGGGTTCACCCTGCGTTGATTTTAGCTCTTGAAAGCCTTTTGAATTTAAATCGGGGCTCCCCATCTCATTCTGGTGCATCAGTAGAACAAAAGGGTAATAATAGTCATATATTGCAGGAAGTGTTCCACATGCTTTGCTATCTTTCGGAAAGGGTATCTGCTGTAGTTCAAACTGCTGTTGATCAGGGTCTTTTCATAGTCAAGTTAATTTCCCATGCAGGAAAAATTGAACATTTTCAATAGCACCAGCTAGAGAAAGCCACTTGACATGTGTGAGCTTAGCCATTAAAAAAAACAAAAACTTCTCTGTGCTCAGGTGTCTACAGTGGGAGGGGAAGCTCTTTACAATATATAACGCCTCGCAAGTTAATACTGTACCTGACTGGGAGACTTAGATCAACTTAAACCTGCTGCTTCATGGAACCCACACACATACAGTTGGTAACATTTCTAAAACATGTTTTCCACATTTCCACAATATGTGTATGGGAGGGGTGTTATGTAACTTTAGCATTCTCCTGGAGGAAGAATCTTAAAGGACCTTAAAGCAGAGCTCTCTGCCTCTGCGTCTGTCTCTGTCTCTGTCTCTCTCTCTCTCTCTCTCTTCCTTCCTCCTCCCTCCCTCCCATTCCACATGCCATTTTCTACACGTGGGGTATGTTTATGTGAAAATTATGGGAGAAAATACAATTGTTTATTAGCTTTACTGACATTTTTCCAAAACATGTTTGTACAGGTTTTCTTCTGGATAGAAATATTGTATATTGTTTAAAATGTTATACATTCATACAAATATACAAAACCACAACATTTTATTTTCCCCTATTTTTTCTGCAATTCATTGCTAAACAATCTCTCAAAGAGAAAATGGTGAATACTGACATTTGACTCTACAGCAATGCCTCCCAACCTTAGCAACGTCTAGCTGGGAATTCTATAAACTGAACTCCACATGCATAAGAAACAGTCACGCCTCGGGAACACTGCTCTAGCTTTATTAAATTACAATTTCCAAACTTCCTAGCCAGCATGCATGTATGTTGGCTAGGAATTCTGGAAGCTAGATTCCAGCATTTCTGGAAGGCATCAAATTGGAGAAGTAACTATCAGCCAATCTAACATTGTTCTGATTTCTCCGTTTTCATAGGTAATCAGAATTTTACAATATGAGTATCACTACACTGAAAGAGAAGCTGATATGGTGTGTGATAAGTTCCAAGCCAGGCTGTCCAAAGAATGCTTTGATCCATCTGAAATATCTATTACTAATCTAAGGATCCAACATTGGGAAGGAGCTATACAAGAAGTAAAGGGAGGAACAGCCAATCAGAAGTTGGCTGGAGAATGTTATTTTCTTTGGAAAACCACCCGCCTGAAGCACTTGACTTTGACAGAGGAAACACGCAAGATCCTCAGGGACCTCAAAAAAGTTGTCCCTTTGCTTTTGCTAACAAATGGAGACACTGAGACACAAAGAGAAAAGATCGAAGCTTGTGCCTGTCAGGAATTCTTTGATGCAATTGTTGTAGGAGGAGAGCAGAAAGAAGAGAAGCCATCGCCATCCATTTTCCTTCACTGTTGTGAACTTCTAGGAGTCCAGCCGGAGGACTGTGTGATGATTGGAGACTCTTTAGACACAGACATCCAAGGAGGATTGAATGCAGGTTTAAAGGCAACCATTTGGATAAATAAAACTGGAATAGTTCCCACAGAAACATCTCCTGTTCCTCATTATACTATTTCTTCTCTTCTTGACCTTCCTGGACTTTTAGTAAAACAACATTTTGAAATAAGTCAGATGGCAGATAATGTACATGACAGTCTCACCAAGTAATTTAAGAGTTTAGCCTCTTCGGTTTACAGTTAAAGGGCATTTCTATCTATGAGGTTTACATTGATTTACTTAAAGTGCTCTGTTCTATCTTTTTTTAAAAAAATACATCCTGTGCCATGTTGAACATATTTGAGTCTTTTACATGCTGTTCATGTTATGTCAAAGTGTGGACTATACAGAGGACTGTAAAGAAGTGGCCATTTTTTGCTGCTGCAAATCTTGCAAACTCACTAAATTCTCACAAGAGTCCAGCAATATCATTTTATTTGTTATGGGAGGGAATCAGGATATCTAAGACAAGAAATTAGTAACTGAAACTGAGTTGTAGTTTCTGTCTTAAAATAACACCCCACTCAACCAGCTTCTATAATGATATCAGAAATAAATATATTTCTTGGTTACTGCTATTCAAAGAAAGCAAATGAGCGGACAATTCATCATTGCATTCCCCCCCCCCCCCATGGTAAGCCACATTAAAGTACAGTTAGGCTGTGAGTCTCAATACTGTTGGACAGTATTTCTCAACCTTGGCAATTTTCATATGCATGGACTTCAACTCCCAGAATTCCTCAGCTAGCAAGGTGATCCAGGGTGATATCTGAAAGTTGCCAAGGATGAGAAACACTGCTGTAGGATGAAACCAGTCATGTAGTGCCTCCTGGTGGTCAGTATAACGTTGCAAATGTGAAAAATAGAGGCTGTATTGTAAAGTATATTCAGTTCAAAAAAATCAGTGTAACTGTCTCAAAGTTCAGGGTGTATATTTTTTTCTGAAAGTATACAACATCTTTACTGTAATTTTAGACATAGTTTTTAGGTTCTTTGGAATCAATGCAGAAATAAACGCTACACTGCAAATATGTCTTTTTCAGTTTTGTTCTTGCAATGTAATTGCATGGGATAGTATTTGCAGATGAGAATCAACTGAGAGGATGGGAAAACACTTAAATCTCATTCTTAGTCAATGTTTTCTCCCTTGTTAAAGTCTTACAGTTATTTTATCTTACCTGACAAATACAGTTAAGATAATACACATACTCCTCTCAAAAGACAAAAAATATCAATGCTGTTTAGATTGATAAACTTCAATGAAGGCTACAGATTATTTGTATCTGAGTGGGAGAAATTTAGACAAAAAACAGAAGTATAAAGTATGCTGTTGAAGAATCAAATTTATTGTTTTAAAAAAATCTGAACATGTAGAATTGATACCTTAGCATCTAAATTCTTGTAATTCTAAAATCTTATAAACATATTCCAGTACTAATTTTAATGCCAGTATTTTACCACTGTATAGTACTGATATTTTTTATGTATAGTATAATTTGCCAAAGGTTTTTCATATTATTGTTTGAATATCAGGTCATTCTAAATATTGTAATAGCTATAGAGTTGCTACTGTGGCCATTTTCACTTTTTTTTTTTTTTTTTTTGCTTTAATTTATATGCCGCCCCTCTCCGGAGACTAAGGGCATCTTACAATGCATTAAGCAATAGCCTTCATACTCTTGTATATTTATACAAAGTCAGCTTATTGCCCCCACAATCTGGGTCCTCATTTTACTTACCTTAGAAAGGATGGAAGGCTGAGTCAACCTTGAGCCTGGTGAGATTTGAACTTGCAGTAATTGCAAGCAGCAGATGTTAATAACAGTGCTTTAGTCCACTGTACTACAGGCTCTTGACTTAACATTTTACATACACATGACTATCTAGCTGGCACATCTGCACATCACCCATATCAGTAAACAAATACACAAATGACACATACCAATATTTCAAACAGAAACATATTGGTTACAGATACTTACATAAAGAAACCTCCACCCAACCTGTCTGTTACTTAACTGTACTGCAGAGTTAGGCAACAGGATTGGGTCCAGAAGTGCCAGTCGCTCACTGTTCTGCAGAGACTCTGTGGAACTGAACTGTATAAGCAAATTGTGATTCACTCAAGCAGGCAAATAACCTCAAAACTGAGGCTCAAAATCTAAAAGACACTCCAGTAAGATATTAGAAAAAGATATAATAGCCTTTTAACAATATCCAAATACTCCATTTATCTGGCCAAAGAGTAAAGCCGGACCTTTCACTTGTTCAGAAAACTCGAAAGAGCAGCAGAGGGCTGCTTTTGTTCCATAGGCATAACCCAGCCCCATATTTCTGCTATAGGTGCTATTGGATCCATAGGTAGCAAGGAGATCAGTCAATGAACAGACTTGTGGAAAATAATAGAGTTCTCCAATTCTGAAGTCCTAATCCCACAGGCTCTCCTTCATGGATTACTGCCTTGTCATGGCAAAGGGGTTTGAATAGGTCAATGAAGCTATGAGCTATGCTGTGCAGGGCCACCCAAGACAGACAGGTTATAGCAGAGAGCTCTGACAAAACGTGATCCACTGGAGAAGGAAATGGCAACCCACTCCAGAATCTTTGCCATGAAAACCCCATGGACAGTACCAAAAGGCAAAAAGATAATGATGCTGGATGATGAGCCCCTTTGGTCAGAAGGTGTCCAATATGCTATTGGGGAAGAGCAGAGGGATAGTACTAGTAGTGGCTAATGGGTTTTATTTTTATGTTATTTAAAAGAAAGTTTAATGCTATTTTCAAAACTAAAAACGCAAAGTAGTTTACAATCCAGCAAGTATAAGCAATAACAAAACTTCAGATTATTCTAGTCCAAAAAGCCTTTGGTAGAGTTGTTGCACAGAAAAAGTCCAAGGAATCAGGCACATTACAACCACTCCTCGTTTAGCAATTATTATTTTTTTTTAAATTTGATTTATATGCCGCCTTTCTCCGGAGACTCAGGGCGGCTTACAATGTGCTAAGCAATAGCCTTCATCCTTTTGTATATTTATACAAAGTCAGCTTATTGCCCCCACAACTGGGTCCTCAATTTACCTACCTTAGAAAGGATGGAAGGCTGAATCAACCTTGAGCCTGGCGAGATTCGAACCTGCAGTAATTGCAGGCAGCTGGTCTTAATAATAGGGTGCTTTAGACCACTGTACTACCAAGGCTCTTGACTTAACATTTTCCATATACATGACTATCTAGCTGGCACATCTGCACATCACCCATTGCCTCGGATGATGACCATTTACAAATACAACAATAAAAAAAATCATTTTCAGGCCAATGTGTGCATTTTGGACCAATTTTTGTGTGCCTGACTACAAAAGCCTTCAGCGGGAAACTGATTAAAGTCCAGTCAGTTTCAGACAGCAGCAGGAACCAACTGGAGGTTCTAATCAACTAATTCAAGTCATAGGGATGAGTTTGTTAACTTGCACTTTTTAGGAACATTCTGTGAGAAAAACAGCTCAGGAAGAGATTACTTATATAAGCAATCTCTCTGCCCTGTGACGGGGGTCAAAGGAAAACATGGGTCAGGCTCAGTGTACTATAGAACTTTACTTGAATTAGATGGTATAACCAATGATGTTCACTTACTGACCATTTTGATGGAACCAACTGCAGTCACTATACATGGAGAGGCTTGAATTCTACATACCTCTTCCTGTGAGTAGATGTAGTTTTCCCAACCTGCTGCTCTTTCTCTGCCTGTGCCTACTTTTAACAGTGGCATTAACTTTTACGCTTAGTAAGAAATACACTTTCTTAACTCCATCAACATTGCTCCCAAAAAAGTATTAAGGCTGCAGTTCAGCATGAATTCTATTGACTTTTGCTGGCAACATAACGTAATTCTGCCCAACTGTTCTGCTAGATTTCCTATGATAAAGCTGATGAAATGTGGTTGCCTCTAGCCTGAAAAATGTCTAGGGATCTGTATGCATGGAAGGCTGTTATGTCTCTGTGTGTAGGTTGGCTTAACTTCAAAGTTATTCATCATCTAGCATGATATAGCAGATGGTAGAACCAAGGGGCCCCTAGGCAATAGTAGCTATGCTAATATTTAAAATACTAAAATTTAAAACTAACAATTTATTTTTATAGCTGAGATCCTGATCCACAGTAATATTAGAGAAATAAGTTTAAAATACAAACAATCAGCATAGAGATGGAAGGGACTTTGGAGGTCTTCTAGTCCGACCCCCTTGTCAAGCAGGAGACCTTATACCATTTCAGACAAGTGGCTGTCCAGTCTCTTCTTAAAAACCTCCAGTGATGAAGCCCCCACAACATCTGAAGGCAAGCTGCTCCACTGGTTAATTGTTCTCACTGTTAGGAGATTTCTCCTTAGTTCCAGGTTGCTTCTCTCCTTGATCAGTTTCCATCCATTGTTTCTTGTCCTGCCCCCTGGTGCTTCAGAAAATAAGTTGACTCCTCTTCTTTGTGTCAGCCCCTCAAATACTGCAATACTGTTATCATGTCCCCCCTAGTCCTTCTTTTCTCTAGACTAGCCAAACCGAAATCTGTTCTTTATATGTTTTAGTTTTCAGGCCGTTAATCATCTTAGTTGCTCTTCTCTGCACTTTTTTCAAAGTCTCAACATCTTTTCTGTAATGTGGTGACCAAAACTGGATTCAGTATTCCAGGTGTAGTCCAAGGGTGAAATGCTCCTGGATTGGACCGGATCGGCTGATCCGGTAGCGATTTTTCCCTGTGGTTCAGCGATCCGGTAGCAATCGCCAACCGGGTGTCATTACTTCCTGGTTTTAACCAAGAAGTAATGTTTTTTTACCTTCTGTGCATGTGCAGGTTTTGCGCATGCACAGAAGGTGTACACACACACAGAGTGCTTGCACTTCCAAACCAGTAAGGAAGGTAAGTAGATTTCACCCCTGGTGTAGTCTTACTAAGGTTTTATAAACCAGTACTAATACTTCATGTGATTTTGATTCTGTATCTCTGTTTATACAACCAAAGTTTGTATTAGCTTTTTTGGATGCTGCCTCCACTGTATAGTATATATCATATACCATAATATACAGTGTTATATAATGTAACACTGCATATTATTATTATTATTATTATTATTATTATTATTATTATTATTATTATTTTATTTCTATACCGCCCTTCTCCGGGACTCAGGGCGGTGTACAGCCAGGATAAAACATTGCATATAAAATTTAAAAACAGTTTAAAAAACAATTATTAAATTGCTAAATTAAAAAACAATTATTAAAAAACAAAAACAATTATATTATGTATATTATGTTTGATCAATGTGTGGATAGCACAGAATTCTCTAAAATTGTCTGATTCTAAACTGAGCAAGCATATAGACTGCATGCGGGGGGGGGAGGGAAAATAGAAACTTGATGCGGTAAATCTTTCTTAATTCACATGCCAAAATTAATCCAACTACATTTGGTGCAGATTATTTACCTAATATTGTATTTCAGTGGTATTCAACTACTTATTTTACAATTCTTATGTACTCCTTTTCAAGCTTTGGGATTCTTGGAAAGCAGAGAGAGATCTAAGATGAAGATGTAGGTGGAAAGAACTGAACATAACTGTAACTATTGCTAAAATTCTGGATGACCACTAGAGCAGGGCTCTCCAACTCCTGGGCTGTGGCTTAGTACAAGGCTGTGCAAGGGCAGACGAATGTGCACAGTTCCATGTTTGCGAGTGGCAGGTGTTCACATTTGCGCAGGAAGCTTCATTAGTATGAGTAACGGGCATGCGCACCTGGTACTCATGTAAATGGAGCTCTGTGGGTGCGTGGGCCCCAGGGGTGGGTTCTACTTACCTTTACTACCGGTTCGCAGCGGGAGCGCATGCACAGATCACCCATGATGATGATGTAGCGGGTGGGCGGAGCCTCCCACCGGTTTTATTACCGGTTCTATAAAACTGGACTGAACCAGGAGCAACCCATCACTGGTGTGCCCACTGCTTGCATGGAATACCATCCTCTTCCCCTGCCCCCGATGAT